AATGTTTAGGTGGAATCTTCTTTCTTGTAGTTTGGATCCATTGCTCCGTGTCCGCTTCTCTGGTAGGTTAGGCTAAGGAAATATAACTGACCCAATGTGTTTTATGATGGGGGGGGGCCTTAAACCTTTGACCCAGCACTCTTTAACTCCATCTGTAAAACTGCATTTTTAAGAATGCTATTTATTTAAAATAAACCTGATTTGGAATGAAAATGTACTTTCTTTAGTTGAATTTCCAGCAGTTCTATTAAACACCTTGAATGGAGAGATTGAATCTGAATTCCACATGTACGTGCAGCCTCAGGAACATCCCATTCTCTCTGAATTTTGCACTGAGCTAACTGGCATAAAGCAGGTACAATTTTATTGTTTCATGTTGCAGACAATTTGCAAGCTAAGCTCATAGTTTCCAGTTGGTTTTGAAACCATAGAGGTGTTATTGACCCTGTTCACTATGCCTGACAATGAATTGTGTTAAGGCTGAGTGTAAAGCAACACTTGGATACTGTCAAAAATACTAAATGTATCTTGTTCTCTTCTATTAAGAACCAAGTTGATGAAGGCGTCCCTCTTCATATATGCCTGTCTCAGTTTTCTAAATGGATTCAAAAAATGCAGAAGGAAAAAAACATTGTTTTCAGTTCAGGTCATTCTTCGGAAGGAAAATTATGTGCTTTTGTTACATGGTCAGGTAATTCATAGTACCTTTTTAAAAATCTGATTTCTTACACTGAAAGTGGTTTGAAGTGATTTGACCCTCTTGACTTTGCTTTTCCACTTCCTTTTTAAAAATCTTTCAAGGCTGTATTTGCAACATGTGCTAGAAACTGGTTTAAGAAAGCAAAAGAAAAACGAGGTTTTTCTTGCGTAGAATACACACAAAACTCTGAGTTGGGAGGTGCAATGCACAGTTGTGGATTGCGTACTCCTCAGCAGTTATGTGTGCATTTCACGATCACACCATAGAGCGGACTTAGTCCCTAGGTATCTTTTCCTACTTTAATTCCTCATGTTTCTAGCCTTGTGAGGAATGGCTGTCTGATAAGACACAGTTACTATTCCACACGGAAGAAAGCTAGAAACAATAACAAAGCATAAAACATGAAAGGTTTATGACAGTTTGTTTGTTCTACAGACTGGGACCTGGGCGTGTGTTTGCAATACGAGTGTAAAAGAAAGCAGCTGAGAAAACCAGATGTTTTAAACTCCTGGATTGATCTCCGGGCAACTTACAAGGTGAGATCAGACTGCATATGTGTAATATTCATGAAAGGAATGCGGAAATGGCCAATTTTGCTAGCTGTGAGCTGCTTATTGTTTGGATTGCCGTGGTCATGGTGTAACTGGCAGCCTGTCTGCATCACCGCAAGCTAGATCATTCGCCAGATGAAATGTAACTTTTGCTGCATTTCTACATTGCTTATACAGTGGTGCCCCGCAAGACGAACGCCTCGCAAGACGGAAAACCCGCTGGACGAAAGGGTTTTCCGTTTTGGAGGTGTTTCGCAAAACGAATTTCCCTATGGGCTTGCTTCGCAAGACGACAGCCCATAGGGAAATCTCCAGGACAGCGGGGAAGCGCAGCGCGTCTTCCCCGCTGTCCTCGGACCTCCTCCGAAGCCGGGCGGCGGGGCGGGGACACCTCCTCCCGCCGCCCGGCTTCGGAACGATTCTCCGAAGCCGGGCCGCGGGGCCGCGAAGCCTGGGCGCGCTGATCTCAGCGCGCGCAGGCTTCGGCATGCTGGCAACTCTCCGCAAGCAGCGGGAGCGCTCCCGCTGCTTGCGGAGAGGTCCGCGAAGCCTGTCCAGGACAGCTTTTGAAGGCGGGGGGGGGGGGAGCAAAGACATTCGCCCCCCGCCCGCCTTCAGAAGAGGTCCTGGACCTCTTCTGAAGGCCGGCGGGGGGCAAAAGTCTTTGTCCCCCCTGCCTGCCTTCCCAGGGGCTTTTAAATCGCCCCGGACAGCGGAGAAATCCTCCGCTGTCCTGGGGCGATTTTAAAATGCCGCCCGCCAGCATTTTAAGATCGCCCCGGACAGCGGAGAAGTCCTCCGCTGTCCCGGGGTTTTTTAAAATGCTGGGGGTGGGAAGAAAAGCCCTTGTCCCCGTCCCCCCCAGCCTTCAGAAGAGGTCGGGGGACAGACTGTCCCCGGACCTGGTCTGAAGGCGGTTTCCATAGGAACGCATTAATTGATTTTCAATGCATTCCTATGGGAAACCGTGCATCGCAAGACGAAAAACTCGCAAGACGAAGAGACTTGCGGAACGAATTAATTTCGTCTTGCGAGGCACCACTGTAATACTGTCATGTTAGTTCAATGCCCCCATCTGTTTTACTCCTTTCCATCTCTCTTCTTTTCTTTTATTCATTAAGTGTTTTTCTTCACTGGTGATATAAAGATCACACATTTACAGAGCCCTCCTAGGTATATGACCCATCTCTGGTCCTGTCTGTATTATTTATTATATTATCCATATCCCACCTTTAAGGAAGCAAAATACAGTGGTACCTCAGGTTACAGGCGCTTCAGGTTACAGGCACTTCAGGTTACAGACTCTGCTAACCCAGAAATAGTACCACGGGTTAAGAACTTTGCTTCAGGATGAGAACAGAAATCGTGCTCCGACGGCATGGTGGTAGCAGGAGGCCCCATTAGCTGAAGTGGTACCTCAGGTTAAGAACAGTTTCAGGTTAAGAACGAACCTGCAGAACAAATAAAGTTCTTAACCTGAGGTACCACTGTAAAGAAATACATTGGGGGGGGAATAAAATAATTTAATAAGGTTGCAATAAGAACACAGGAGGAGCTCTGCTGGATCAGAACAGTGGCCCATGCTGTCCAGCCTTCCATTCCCAGCAGCCAACCAGATGCCTGAAAAGCATAACAAGTCACCAGGCTGCCTTCCATAGTGCAGTCACTGTATGCGGGGAGGGGGAGCAGTCTGAGGTCACCTGAGGCCATCATAGCCTATCTCCTTTGCTCTCCTATTCCTTGTCATAGGGCCTTTGGTGGTAGACAGCCGTGTGAGTAAGATAGGACAGTGATTTATTCATTCTTTTGGAGGAAGGATATGATCTATGTAGTATATTCATTATTTTAAAAATGATAACTATGACTTAATACAGATTCATTTTATGATTGCTCCTGAATATTTAGTAATCAGAGCACTGATGGGAGTGTTTTCAGTTCTTTGACTTCCTAAAGCAGGTGTGGGGAACCTTTGGCTCTCTAAATGTTGTGGAACTCCTAACTTCCATCAGCCCCAGCAAGCAGGGCCAATAGTCAGGGATTATGGGAGGTGTAGTTCAGCAATGTTTAGAGAGCCACAGGCTTCCCACACCAGTGCTAAAGAAAGACGTATATGAAGAACTAAATTTTGTGCTGTGCCTATGATTTGAGTTGAACAGAGCACAGCAGCTAATGTCTTTACCTTTATTTCCTCTTAGCTCTTTTACTGTCGGAAGCCACATGGGCTAAACGGTGCTTTGCAGGATGTGGGGATCATATTTGCAGGACGGGAGCATTCTGGTGAGTGAGTTTTTAAGTGTGTATGTCTGTATGTATGGAAATACTTCTAGTTATCAGTAGCAAGTTCTTAGGCTTGTTCCAAGCTCTACCTAAACTGAGACAAATTCCATGGAATATAACCCATACTGTTCAATAATAACTATGGCAGACCAACACGGCTACCTATCTGTAACTGGAAATATGGAAGGCACCACATTGAGCCGCATGAAATGGAAGTCCATCGTATCTGAAGAAGTGTGCTTGCACACGAAAGCTCATACCAAGAACTAACTTAGTTGGTCTTTAAGGTGCTACTGGAAGGAATTTTTTTGTTTTGACTATGGCAGACCAACACGGCTACCTATCTGTAACTGTTCAATAATGACATGCTCTAAAACTAAGAATGCTGGTTTTTCTTATCCCTTTAAATGAGTTTTATTCTACTTTTGTTTCACCCTTCTTTCAAAAAGTTCAGGACAATTTATTAAATAATTTGAAAAAAGTTCAGGGCAATAATTTGAAAAAAAAGAAAAATATTTATTGCATATTTCCTAAGCATTGTGTACAATATCATACATTAGCAGGATTTTGAAAAACACTTGTAATATGATGAATAATGTATAAAACTGGAAATTATTGTGAATTTAAGATATTATGGACGTGCATGAACAAATGTAAAACAAAAGAACCAAGAAGGGGGAGTGGAGGGAAATCAAGGGATTTTAGAAATCCCATCTTTGGAAGTTGTTATGGATTGTATACATAGTATGGTTATTTTTATGTGATTTTTGTTATTGTAAAAATTAATAAAATACACACACACACACACAAAGTTCAGGACAGTACCTACTGTTCCCTACCTCCTTCTGTTTTTATCCTTGCAGCAACCCGGTGGGGTGGGCTGGACCGGACTGGGAGGCAGAGTGACTCAAAGTCACTTAGTGCACTTCAGGACCACGCAGGGAGTGGAACTCAATTCTCCCTGGACCTACTACCTGCCATATTTAGATCACCAAATCTTATACTAGGGTCTTCTTATACAAGGGTGCTTTGTGCATAGCTGTATCCCTACAGGTTCTTTTGTGAAGCAGTGAGAAAGGGTTGCGTGAGTACAGAATAGTTACCTTGCCTGACTTGGTCAACAACAGCACCACCTCTCTTTTTCCCAAGGGCTGGATGATTCCCGGAATACTGCCCGCCTTGCATGGAAGATGATCTGTGATGGGTGTGTGATGAAAATCACTAAATCTTTGGATAAGGTCAGTGGCTTTTCTACTTGACATATGTGCCAAGAAGACAGTAAGAGTTTGCTGAAACGACTTTGAACTTGATCTTCTTCCTGGAGGATTCCGAGGCACATTTTCTCACTTGGCTGTTGACATCTCTTTCCTGCGGTTCCCACAATATCTTATTTGTTTATGGATTCTTTAGGCACCTCCTGCGAAGAATTCCATTGCCAGGTTTTTGTCTCCGAAACCTACTGAAGGAAGTCCTTTGGGAAGCAATGATGGTGCAGAAATGTCATGTCTGGATGAGAGCAAAAATGCTGGAGTTACCACAGGAATTAAAAACAACAAGGAAAACCAACAGCAAGAGTTCAGTCCTGTTCATCTGCATAGAAACACCCATGTTCTGTCGAGAGATGCCCTAAAGACTGATGGATATAGTAGTGTCCAAAGCTGCTTGGTTGAAAGGCTCAGTTCCCCTCTTGGCTCTTTTCAGCCTTCGCATAACTCTTTGGGCATCCAGAGTGGGCTAAATAACAGGCACCCCATTTCTAATTCTTCAGTGCATAATCCAGGACTGGTTTTAGTCTCAACCACTCTTTCCTCCGTCAGTATTTCAGATATAGACATAAGTACCACTCCAGATTGTTTATCAGCGCTGGCCAACTGGGAGGATGTGGCTTTAATACCAGCATCGCAAGATGATGAAAGTTTGCAGCAGGAGGATGACCCGAACCATAAGACTTCATTAACCGTTGAAGAGAAGATGGATCTGAATGAGTCGCACACGATGAACTTGGGATCTAAAAGTGTTGCGGATGCTACTCTGAATCTGGAACTCCCCAAGTCTGTTGTGTACCAAAGCCCCAGCACTACGATTTATAACATTAGCATAGCCCCAAATAAGTTCTTGGATACTTCTGCTTTTAAGCTTCCCACTGCAAAAGCAAGTGCTGCTTCCATTGATGTGCTAAATGGAACCCCTTTCAGATTGTCATCTAAAGCACACAAAAGGAAGCCTTCCAGTCCAAAATCAGTTCCTCCAGCAAAGAAACCACCCTTTATAGTTTATGAAGACAAAGGCGCAACGCCTAGTACCTCCCAGTTAGTCAGGAGGCTCGGTTCCTACCGCGTCCCTTCCGGCGTCTTAAACTCCTCAGTCAACTTAAACCAGCCTTTAAAGGCTGCAGAGACTGGGAGAGTGACCCCTCCTTTGTGCAGATGCGGTCGAAGGGCCAGAAGGCTAAATGTTTCGAATGGTGGTCCGAATCATGGCAAAGCATTCTATAGCTGCCCAGTTGGAAAGCAGGCGGGGAATAGAAAGGGCTGTGGTTATTTCATATGGGAGCATACTCTTCAAAAGGAGAAGCTCACACTCCCTACCTCCAGTGCTCTGGGGCTGCCAGGTCCTGGACACAGTTTCAGTTCATCAGGAAATTCTGAAAAGAAGACCCTCGTTCTCCGACCTTCTATGCGAACCTAGCCAAGGACTACCTCCTTGATCTCCTTCTTCATGGAGAAAAATGTCTTACACCATCACAAATGTAAGAGGCTATTAGCTTTGTTTCCCCATCTTAGAATATTCTTCCAGATCGTGCTGCAAATGGGCTGTCTATAAGCTTCTAAAGTGAAAAGTAAAAGGATGGGCATCCCTGAAAGGATTTTGACAGTATTGCTGAGGATAAACCAAATGAGGATCAGTAGTTGGTCTTGCCTTTTAAAGTTATCCTGCTTTTTCTATATTTTAGGTTTATCACAGATTATGTCTCCATTACTAGATAACTGCAAACACATGCATGCTCCATGAGAATCGGTAGCACAGGCTTTTGGAACACTTGCTTTTTAAAAGAAATAGTGCATAAAGAAGTTATCATGGTTTTAAGTTTTATATCCATATTGATTTTTTATTAGTGAAGTACAATAGAAGTGTGGCCTGGAATTCTGGAGGTTGACTTCCTTCCGGTATAGCAGCTTAAATTCCACAGTAAAAGTGAAGCACTTTTCTTATCTTAATGCTCTATTTCTGCCAAAACATGTTTTGTTTACTTTGGGGCATTACCACCATACTTGAGGCTGGTACACAGCCTGTGGGAAAAGTCAGAAGTTTAAATCAAAGACAGGAGCTAACATAAACCCACATCAATCAGAAAGTAAAGAGGTAGAAGTTCTATAACAAATTAAACAAACTCAGCACATTAAATGGAATGAGGTTGTTGCATAGCATGGCAGGAGAGTTCTGTGACTTACTTCTTGAATGCATGAGAAACCTGGCATTGACTTGAAAATGGTTGCCAATATTGTGAAATACTGTGCCTATAGTGCTTTCAGTGTCCCAGGAGATAACCCATATTGGTCCGGACTGGAATTTTTTAGCTAACCATTTTTTATGATCTGAATTAAGTGAAATAAAATATGAAATAAAAACAATTTTCTGTTTTAACAGTTTGGATTTTGCCTGTTGATAGCTTTTTGATTTTGATAGCTCTTTAAGCACTGTAGGGAAGTTACATATGCAGAAATATTAATACTTAAAAGTCTGCTCTGTTGTTCTTAACTATAATCCTAGGAGCTTGCTTACACATGGATGGGGGAGAGAATATTTAAGCGCAGATGTGGGCCTCCAGTTGTTGCAGAAACAAAAAAATATTCCTGGTATGATCAGTCACTATCACACGCTTCAGGCCCCACTGACGTTCAGTGTGTATTGAATTCTCCCACTGAACTAAATGGGATTTAAAAGAATTTAATATTGGCTGGATTGTGTCCAGCTGAATTAAAAGCCTTTTCTCCTGCTTCAATGATGCCGGCATCATTCAGCATAGTACATCGTTGGTGGGAGCTTTGGTGGGGATACTACTCTTGCATGGTGACCACCGGATCCCTTGTAGTTTATATCAACCTGATGCACAATAGAGACTGGACTTATTTAGGTTGTGGCCAGGTTGTGTCTCTAGAAGGGCTTTCTAGCAGGGGTGCCCAAAGAAGCTTGCTGCCAGTAACTAGGTGGAATGTTGAAATGAGCACATGTCCCAACAGTGCTGTGAAGGTCCTTATTTATAAACCCAGATAGTTCACTTGCTTTGGGACAACTATGTCCCCATTGCAACAACTTGTACTCCCCTGGTTTTTTCGGTGGCCTGGGTGTGGATACTTCCATCATCCTGTGTGTTGGAAGCTGTTGGGCCAACAGGAGATCTGAACAGATCGAGACCCTTCCATTCTGCCTCTATAGGGGAGCAGGGAAAGGAGCTGGCTAACGTGCTTGATTACATGTCTAGCTTACTCTTGTAGCTCCCTGCAGATTCGTGGTGATTTTTTAAGCTTCTGAGCTTTGGAATCAACTTTGTGTTGGCATTTTCTCCAGAGTACACTGTGTTCTTTTCTGCATGTGACTCAGCATCTGGAATGAGAGTTACGCTTTGCTTTGCTCAACCTTGCAAGATGCTTTTAGGATTTTATATGAATGGGTGGAGGAAGATGCTCAACCACTGATATTCCCCAAATGTCTGATCCTGCACTGCTTGTAATATATACTCTCCAAGGGAGTGAGTATGTGAGGGTTGGGGAATTTTTGCAGTGTGTGTGTGTGACAGCTGCAGCATTGGGATTTAAATACAGAGGCTGGCATGGCAAGATCTTTCAACATAAGGAATCAATATAAAACTCAAAACAGGCACTGTGGAAGTAAACAGCTAAATCTAAGCTTTCCCCCACTCTGCCTTGCGCAATTCGTTTCTTCTGATTTTCCCACTGATTGTCTTTGGCAGATGTGGCACAAACTCCACCTGTTGGACAAGAGAAGGAATTACAGTGAGCCAAAGAGGGGGCAAAACATACGAAGCCGTTTTTTTATATGGAGTCTATTTGTGGAAGGCAAACAGTAGGGCTCTACTTACCCCTATTTCAGGGATGGAGGATCTTCCAGCCTGTGAGCTTCACTGCCTGTTGTGGACTGGCTGGATGCTGAGGAATGGTGTGAGGCACCAGCTGGGGAACCCCCAAGAGAGGACGGCTCAGAGCCAGGGGATTGGTGGTAGGACGAGGATGAGGGGAAGAGGGAACAGACTGGGAGGAGGAACCGTCGGCAGCTGAAGAGGCAACAGGGTTTAGTGAGAAGGAAGAGGCTGTGGCAGAGAGCAGTGCAGACTCAGAGGCAGGAAAGGAGAGGGACCAAGAGGCAGCAATGAGGCAGGCCGCCGAAGAAGCCAGGGAGTCTCCCCTTTCAGCTGTGACCAGCTCCCCTCCCCTTGGTCTCCCAGAACACGAAGAGGCATGAAGTGGGCACAGCAAAGGGTGGTAAGGTGAAGCAGCCTCAGGTTGCTGGGGAGGAGTCTTAGAGAGCAGTGGGAAGGTGGAGACCTTCAGTTCTTGCAACTGCTTCATTGGGGCAAGACCTGCTGGGAAGGGTTGCCATGATCCCGAGGCCTGTGCTGTTTGCTTCTTTGAATGAAGAGCTAACTTTGTGAGTTATTGCTGACTTGCCCCAACTCCTGCCTTGACACCGCCCTACACCTGATGCCAGATGTGGGGCAGGTAAGGTAGGGGCTTAGCTGCTGGGCAGTGGCTGCAAAGAGTTTCTGAAGCACCCAACAACCATCCTTCACGCTTATTTATAAAAAAATATTTGTATACCACAGTTTCCTTGAAAAATGCCAAAGTGTCTTACAACAATTATGATACAATTAAAACAGGACATTATAACACAATTAAAAATCGCACAAACATTAAAGCAGTTCACCAGCTGATGTGAGGCCAATGCTGTTGGGTTCAGGTGTGCAGGATAGCTCCCTGCAAGGTATCGTCTCATTCCTCTCTCCGGCTGCACACACACCAAATATTTAAAGCAAACTACCACTGCCCCTGAGTCCAGGGATCTGTAGTTTGTTAAGGGTGCTGTAGCTTTGCAAGGGGTGAACTGTGGTTCCTAGGATTCACTGAAGGAAGCTGCAGGCTTTAAATGTATGCTGTGTACACAGCTTCAGAGATTGACTATGGCATTTTCCCAAAGGTTTGACAGAGCCTTGCCCCAAGGGACTCACAGTCTGCTAAGGCACAAGGGAAATACTAGAGGAGAGGGAGGGCAATGAAGGCAGGAGTAAATAAGAGACGGATGTGTTTTTCAGTTTCAGGCACTTTAGTTTAGATATAGATATTTGATGAAGGGTTTGTTCCATTCTGTGGACAAGATGAGTTTTGAGGATTGATTTGAAGGAAAGGGGAGGTGGACTTACAGAAGCATTCTGGGTAGAAGTTGCAGGCATAAGGAGAAACCAAGGGTGGGGTCATGTTAGAGAAAAGGACACATCCACGAAGCTCAGGGTGGTAGAGCTGAATGAGCCCAAAGGAAGGATATAAAAGCTGGCAGGTGCAGGGACATAGCCATGGAGAGTATTGAAGGCAAGGACATGAAGCCTGTGCAGGAACTGGGCAGAGTTCAGAAGCCAGTGCAGGGATCTAAAGGAAGCTAGATCATGGCTTACCTTTCTAGGATACTTGTAAGGGGCAGTGACTTTTTTGACGTGATCCTGTAGCTCCTTAATCAGTGCTTCTGGGTCACGGGAAATGTAGTCGGGTGCCAAAACCACAAAGGCTTTCACAACCTTAACACATAAATATGTTTGATAAAAGATCATGAAGACTTAGCAAAATATTCTTTGGGCAGTTTATAACAATGGATTGTTTCCAACGGTCCACAACCAACCCAAAGAATGGTACTGTGTGTGTGTGTGTGTGTGTGTGTGTGTGTGTGTGTGTGTGTTTTGTGTCCTGTCGCTGCACCACCTTTTATTAACAGGCAGCTGAAGAGATGGACTGTACAGCCACAAATCTCTTAAGGCATTTTACTGTGCCAGCTTAAAGCTAAGCGTGCCAATTTAAGTGGCTCGGGGGATTGCTGCTTGTACATCCCAGCATAAGGTGTTCAAATCAGCATGGACCGTTGTGTTCTGGAACATGAATTCCTTGTGGAGTTCATAGGCTTTCAAATTCAAAAAAGAACACGTAAACACCAGCGGGATCTTGTCTTTTCAGAGTCGTCTTTTTGCTTACAACAAATGTGAACCATAAAAAATCACATTTCAATTATATGACAGTTTAAAAAACAGAAATTACAAACCTAAAGGACCTACACTGGCTCCTGGTATGTTTCCGAGCACCATTCAAAGTATTGGTGCTGACCTTTAAAGCCCTAAACTTTAAAGCCCTGTATACCCGAAGGAGCATCTCCACCGCCATCATTCAGCCCGGACACTGAAACCCAGTTCTAAGGGCCTTCTGGTAGTTCCCTCACTGTGAGAAGTGAGGCTCCAGGGAACCAGGCAGAGGGGTTTCTTGGCAGTGGCGTCTGCCCTTTGGAATGCCCTCCCTTAAGATGTCAAGGAAATAAACAACTATCTGACTTTTAGAAGACATCAGAAGGCAGTTTTTAGTGTTTGATGTTTTATAATGTTTTTATATGTGTTGTAAGCTGCTCAGAGTGGCTGGGGCAACCCAGCTAAATGTAATAAGTAATAAAATTATTATTATTATAAGTATATAATATAAGTAATAAACTTGTTGGTGTTGTTGTTGTTGAAGGTGCTTCATGCATTCTGACCTTCACCCATTCAAAACAGCCAGCAAACTGTTTCCTCTGTTTAAAAACATTCCATACTGTAATACAACTAGACTCTTTTTACCTCCCCTCTGATGGAATCTGGACTGCTAACAACAGCGGATTCTACGACCGCCGGGTGTTCTATCAATGCACTTTCCACTTCAAATGGTCCAATGCGGTATCTTGGAAACAAAAGAGAAGGCTTTGAAAGGGACCTTCTGATACTTGGTCTGCAGAAAACAGTACCACATAGGAGGTGCGTTACCCAGCAGAATTGATGACATCGTCGGCTCTTCCTACGAACCAGAAGTAGCCATCTTCATCTTGCATTCCTCTGTCCCCGGTGATGTAGAAGTCCCCGCGTACAGTTGAATTCGTTCTTTCTGGATCATCCTGGGAGAGGTGAATAGGTACTTATAAAAAGCACAAGCATGCACCTGCTTGCAAATTTAGGCATAGCTGAGTGTGTGTATATATGTGTATATGTGTGTATGTTTATGTATACTACCGTATTTTTTGCTCTATAAGACTCACTTTTTCCCTCCTAAAAAGTAATGGGAAATGTGTGTGCGTTTTATGGAGCGAATGCAGGCTGTGCAGCTATCCCAGAAGCCAGAACAGCAAGAGGGATTGCTGCTTTCACTGCGCAGCGATCCCTCTTGCTGTTCTGGCTTCTGGGATTCAGAATATATTTTTTTATTGTTTTCCTCCTCCAAAAACTAGGTGCGTCTTGTGGTCTGGTGCATCTTATAGAGCGAAAAATACGGGATATCTCCATCAGGAGGTTGTGGACTCTCCTTCCTTGAGGGTTCTTAAGCAAAGGTTGAGTGGCCATCTGCCATGGATGCTTTAGCTGAGATTCCTGCATTGCAGGGGGTTGGACTTGATGGTTCCTTGGGGTCCTTCCAACTCTGATTCTTTTATATCTATATCACCACTACAGTCGTACCTTGATTTTTGAGCAGCTTAGTTCTCATGTTTTGGCTCCTGAACGCCACAAACCTGGAAGTGAGTGTTCCAGTTTGCAAACTATTTTTGGAAGCTGAACGTCCGACGGAGATTCCATGGCTTCCAATTGGCTGCAGGAGCTTCCTGCAGCCAATCAGATGCCACACTTTGGTTTCCAAACGTTCTGGAAGCCGAACGGACTTCCAGAACGGATTCCGCTCGACTTCCAAGGTACGGCTGTATTATTTTTATTCATTTCCTCCTGCTGTATCAATGCTATTTGCCACACCCTTCTACCCTATCATGCCATAAGAGTTGAGTTAATAATACTGAGATAACACAAGTGCCATATATAAATTATACCATTTGTGGGAGCAGGTAAGTATTCAGCCCTTGGGTTAAAGGTGAACATTTTAAGAACACCAGAAGAGAAGGCATGTTGTGCTTGCACATTGCACTAAATCCAGAGTTAAACACAGGGGTAACCAACCTTTCTGGACCAGCAGGGTAGATATTGAAGAAAGTACCATGGCTGCCATGGGGCAACACATAACACAAAATTAAGAGTGGTAATTACTGCTCCATTCCACCCCAAGCTGTTTCATGCTTACAATGGGAAGGTGTGTATCAAATGCTAGTCCTACTCAGAGTAAGCACGTTGAGAGTAATAGAATTGACTAACTTAGGATCATTCATTTCAGTTGGTCAGCCCTGAGTGCAACGTACAGCCCTATAATTCTGGCTGGCCAGTGTCTGTACATGGAATTTGTGGGGTGGGGGAGCACCATTTAACCTTTGCCTCGCCCAGTAAGGTTTTCCTGGGCATGCCTTCGCTCAAACTTTCAGTGCTGTGTTCCTTTCTGCTCGGTCAATGGTCCTACAAGACAAGGCACCTGGTCTTCCTTGCTCTCCGACTCTCATTCTGAGCCCCTCAAATGTCTACCAAGCTACTTCAGCCCCTGCAATAGCTTCCGAGTTTCTGCCACTGGATCATCTTGTCCAGCTTTACGTCTGTAGCTGGAAGGGCAAGATGCCACTCTAATTCCTGGCATTCTGAAAACTAGATCCAATTCTGAGTAAATAACTTAACAGCTTCTAGTTCTTTCTTAGCCGTGCAGATTGCATCCCTACCGTGTATCGAGTGAAAAGACAAAATGGCCGTGTCGGTTTTATTCGGATAGCAATATCTCCTTCTTTCCCAGGAGGCAACATATTGCAGTTTTCATCTATTATCTAAAAGCAAAGAGAAAATAGTCAAAAGTCATAGGATCCATTACAAAGTTGGACTCGGGGGTGGAGTGGGAATCAGGTGGAACAGTGAAGGGCAATATCTCACTGGTACAGCACCTGCTTCACATCCTGAAGGTCTCAAGTTCAATCCCTGGCATCTTGGAGTTGGGGTTGGTGAAAGATGATGTCTGAAACCCTGGAGAGCTGCTGCCAATGTAGACAATACTAAACCAGATGGACCAATGGTAACTTGAAGCGAGGCACCCCAGTATGGCCCACTTTAGGCTGCCTTGTGCCTTGCGCATGAATCCCAACCCCACCAGTTAAAGACCAGCTGCTTAAGCTAGGGGTAGCCAACTTTGTGACCTGTAGCCCTTAGGTTCTTCCCCCCGCCCCCCAGATAAAAACTCCTAAAACCAGCACTGCATACTGTACCTGAGTGTCATAGGCTGGGGAAGGCTTCCCCATAGAGCCCGGCTTAATTTTCATCCCCTTGAAAGTTCCACAAACCAGCACCTGTTTCAAGTAGTGAAAAGCAAAGCGTGGCTGATGAGATTTCGGTGGGTGGGGGGCAGAGGCACAGAGAAGGATACCAAATTGAATAAAATATTGGGGAGACCTAGGTAGGCCCTGCCCTGCATAACTGATCACAATAAGTGGCACACGCATGCTATTTGAATGGCAAAGTCCATCAACTTTGTGGGGGGTGGCCCCCTCAAATATTTTATTGGGGGGCTGAAGGGGCCTTGGCCCCTAGGAGGTGGCTCCTATGGGCACAGAAATGCTAGGTGACATGTCAGTGAGAAGGTAGAAAAAGTGGCATTCCAAAAGCACTGGAGAAGTCGTATGGCGTCACGGTACGGTGTCTACTTAGCAAGTAGTTCTCAGGTTCAGTTCCTGACATCCTCAGTTGGGCCAGGAGAGACCCTTGCCTGAAATCCTGGAGGGCTGCTGCCAGTCAGTGCAGACAGTACTGAGCTAGCCTCAGTGCTCTGACTCTGCATAAGGCAGCATCTTAGGTTCATATAACTAATCTGGTTGCATGCTGTCAAGACAATTACTTGGTTGGTCTCACTAATTAAATCAATGTTTAAATGTTGCGGCCCTGTTAACGGGTACATTAAGCCTTTATATTTTATACTGTTGTGAGTTTATAGGTGCTAGACACCCTAAATTCCTGGGTCCGGTAGGTGTTAGAATTTAATTAAGGCAAGTGTTCAAATATAAGCCAGATTACTTTCCTAACCAGGAAATCGCCTGGGGCAATGGGCCATTAGGAAGGCAATGAGCCAGACAGCAAGTGGAAGGGGCCCCTCCCTCAGAGTTAATTAGAAGAACGAAAACCAGGGTTTGGAGTTGGTTGGAATGTGACCTGGAAAATAGATGTTTCAGCCTGGTAAAGTTAGGAGAGCGGGAGAGAGCATCAGAGTCATGGCTGATTTCTGTCTGGATCCAGAACTGCAGCTATGGGAGAAGCAAGACCCTCTTGGAGTATTAATGCTGTGAACCCCTCCATCGTAGGCTCAGGTTGTGTATATATATATATGTAAATAAACCATTTATGATAAAGACACTGCAGTCTCCATTGTGCCTCATTCTGTGAACTGCCCTGAGATCTTATGATGAAGGGTGATATATAAATTTAATATATAAACAAACAAATAGATTCCCAAAAGGAAATACAAACCCAGGGTGCCTGAAACCCCCTGAAATTTTGCACCACTCGGGGGTGGCATGCAAGTTACTTCTTTTGGCTTTTTCTGTAGCAGAATATTGACGTCCATTCATGAACCTTCTGAAAGCAGAAAGAACACCCTGGTTGCTGCACTTTAAAAACTGCCCAGCGTTACCGTCTCTGTCTGCCCGTAGCCTTCGTAGATATCCAGTCCTGTTTTTGTTTTCCATTGCTCCATGATTTCTGGGTTCATGGGCTCCCCTGCGCTCACGCAATGCTTCAGGCTGTGGAATTTATAACTTTGGATAAATGGGGGAAGGGGAGAGAGAGAAACGTTTAGATTTCAAAAGGGTTAATAATCAAGAGGTTATACAATTAACCATGGTTTGGAGAACATGGATAGACAGAAGTGTTTCTTCTAATAAAGCCAAATGGTTGGAGATTCAGGAAACATTTATTTACACAGCTAAGCTATGAAAATAGAAATGGTTTATAGGGGGAACCTTTCTAGGTTGTGTGATGAGTTCAGCTCTGCCCACCTGCCAGATTTGGTCCATGGAGATTTAGAAGCAATAAGGTTTCCTGCTCCAATTTTCCACCCCATAGTATAAGATCTCCTACTTTATCTTTGCTTCTACTTCCAGAGCTAGAACGGGAAGTCTGCATATCTGTGTAGAGCTGCTTGTTAACAGCAGCCTGGGCAGCTATAGATTCCTGCCAGTCATTCATCCTAGACTTGCCATTGATCGATTGCTTTTGTATCCCACCGTCTTCCCCAAGGAGCTCAAAAGGGGCTTACATGGTTCTCCTCCTCATTTAACCACTCCCCAAACAACCCTGTGAGGTAGCCTAGCCTGAGAAGCAGTGACTGGCCCGGTGAGCTGCATGGCTGAGTGAAGATTTGGTCTCCCCGGTCCTACTCCGACACACTAACCCAGCCTTTCTCAGCCCTGGGTCCCCAGATGTTGTTGGATTACAACTCCCATCATCCCTAGCTAGCAGGAACAGTGGTCAGGGATGATGGGAGTTGTAGTCCAAGAACATCTAGGGATGCCAGGTTGAGGAAGGCCGCTCTAACCACTACACCACACTGGCTCTCACTGGCTTCTCCTCACCAGGGAGGGCAATAAATGTTTTCCTGCTTAGGCTGGGATTTTGTCTGAGCAAATGCAATGTTAAGTGGTGCCAATATTAAAGCACATTAACATTACAAGTACAGTGGTACTTCGGGTTAAGTACTTAATTCGTTCCGGAGGTCTGTTCTTAACCTGAAACTGTTCTTAACCCAAGGTATTATTTCTGGGTTAGCAGAGTCTGTAACCTGAAGTGTATGTAACCTGAAGCGTATGTAATCCAAGGTACCACTGTAGTAAATAACAACAGCACCTATAAAAAACATAATAAAACATCAAACATTAAAAGCTTCCCAATACAGGGCTGCCTTCAGATGTCTTCTAAAAGTTGTATAGTACTTCTTTACCTGCTTAAACTGTGATGGATTAGCATCCGATAAGCAGTTGGAGCAGAACAGAACGTTGTTATGGGAAACCTGGACAAAGCCTAGATGATTATAAAAAACAATGGATCAAAATCTAGTTTAATGCTGTGTACAGATCATAATATATAGCTTTTTGCAGCTATCAGTAGGCAGTTTTTAAAAAAAGATGTGGCATACAGACATATTTGCTAATCCGTTCTCCAGTTGATTGATTGAAGTACTTATTGGATATGTATCCTGCTTTTCAACTAGTCCTCAAAGCAGCTTAACATTTATAAACACAACAGATGCATCAAGAACCACATGTTCAAAAACAGGAACAGGAGATGTTCTTTCCCCTGAAGGCAGTTGCTATAAATTAGCTCTCTGGGGGTTGGAGAGGGGAAGCCCTCCTCTCTTCATCCTTGTAATTTAGCCTCCAAAAACAGTTATTAGCTTGTAAAAGCTTTATTTGCCCGCCTTTTTACTCATAAAATGGGCAGGTTGAGGGTGAATGGGGGACCCCTTTCTACTTTTACCAGTCTCTCATGAGTAAAAAGATGGTGTGTTAATAAAATAAAATAAAATAAAATAAGAAAATGGGTGCCAGGAACCTCATCTAAATGTTGGCGAGGCTGCAGCTCCATAGGCTCATACCTCCACATGTGGTGGGAATCCTTTTGGATAACAGTGCTGCAGGAAATCTCCAAAATAACCAAACAGGTAATAGAAGCAACTCCAGAACTACCTCCATTAAATATATTCCGGGACAATGACACACATGTGCGGGACAAGAAATTCGTCACTTAATCATAGCTTACTAGGGAAATGCTGAAGTTGCCTTTTGGGGAGCCTCAGCGTCAATTTTTTTATTATAGCCCAAATCTCAGTTGAATGGGTGTATGTATATATCTCAATTTTAACTCATGAGCTATTGCTGCAATCTGCTCCAATTGTATACTTTATCTTCATGAATGCTGTTTTTATTGTGTTATGTGAGCTGGTCTTTGACTGTAATACATACATACATACATACATACATACATACATAAATGTATGTCACTTAATCTCAGCAGCTAGAAGTATATTAATGCTTTTCAAGGTAAGTTTTTAGGTAACAAGTGACTTATAAAGTCTAAGTTGCAAGAACCAATGATCTCTATATTCTGAACGAAATGCTTGTTTAACCTGGAGGTAGGCTGTATGAATTGTGTATTGCTTTGTAACGATTTGTTGGGTCTCTGGACCGTAATAAAGGTTGATTTATAAAGTCTAAGAAAATAATAAAGGGATCGTTTGTGCACACTGTGGTCTGGCATGAGGTCCGAATTTAGGTAGCTGTAGGTCAACACTGTTGAAAGCAGATTAAGAAGATGAACTTGCAGAAGTGAGCTGGGCTGAGAGAGAGGTGAATGCTGCAGCCATCACAGGGCGGCTTCACTGTGAGATAAATTCTATGCGTCTACTCAGCCAACATCCCACACAACCAGTTCAGTTGTATGAATCCAAACAATGTTGAAAGGAAAGTCCAGTCCTTGAGTAACTTGTATAAGGTAAGGGTAAAGGGACCCCTGACCATTAGGTCCAGTCGTGACCGACTCTGGGGTTGCGGCGCTCATCTCGCTTTATTGGCTGAGGGAGCCGGCGTACAGCTTCCGGGTCATGTGGCCAGCATGACTAAGCCGCTTCTTGCAAACCAGAGCAGTGCATGGAAACACCGTTTACCTTCCCGCTGGAGCGGTACCTATTTATCTACTTGCACTTTGACGTGCTTTCGAACTGCTAGGTTAGCAGGAGCAGAGACCGAGCAACGGCAGCTCACCCCATCGCAGGGATTCGAACCGCCGACCTTCTGATCAGCAAGTCCTAGGCTCTGTGGTTTAACCCACAGTGCCACCTCCGGCCCTAAACTAGCATAATACTTGTCCCTTACTTCTAGTACAGGGGTTGGCTCGAAGCGTGGCATGCTGTGAACAAACACACATGCCCCTTGGATCCAGGGTGCGAAAACACTGCTCCAAGCCGATTTCGCCCAGCCTGTGTCAGACGTATTCCAAATGATGTCCGAGGGGGTCAAATCCAGCCAATACCTATGTAACAGGAAGAAGAAGTGCAAAAATGTTAGGAATTCAACATCACACTGCTAGAAATGTTCCATCAGCGTAAGCATTTCTGGTTGTTTGCCTTCTCCTCCCTCTTCCCCCCGTGCTTTTGTGGGGTTCTCCTCCTCCCCACAAAAAAATCCTGTGCACAAGGGCAGGGGAGAAGGGAGAAGCCCCGTTGTGCTAGCTGAAATCATTATGTGGGCTTCCACTAGTGGGATCAGTTAGTTGACCCCAGCAAAGGAGGTGGATTGCTGTCATACCTACACAGCCTGCAACTGCAAGCCTTCGCAGCATTGTGAAGATCTGTTCTTGAACTATCTTAAGACAACTTGTTCATTTGGCATTCATCCTGCTTTACTTTCACAAAGTGGTTAGACTAGATGTGGTCTTCATGGAGCATTTGTTCTGATTTGATTATGGGGTGGTTACATGACTGTGAGCATTCATCCTGATTTGCTTGTATCTTCCCGTTAATCATTCATTTATCCCACACTTTCAGTGCGTTTCCTGTCACTTTCCAAAGTCCATGTTTAAAGTGGTTTTGTTGTGGTAGGCCATCAGAACCCTTGAGTCCATTTTGAAGGCACAAACCTGAAGGCCAGTATGTATGTATGTATGTATGTATGTATAGGCAAACTTGGCCCTCCAGATGTTTTGGGACTACAACTTCCATCATCCCTAGCTAACAGGACCAGTGGTCAGGGATGATGGGAGTTGTAGTCCCAAAACATCTGGAGGGCCGAGTTTGCCTATGCCTATCATAACATATACATACTCCTTTATATTATTTTTTACAAACCTCAAAGCAGTTTACAAAAGGTATGTGCTTCTATCCTACTGCAAAAATGACCAGAATAATTCCTTATCTGGGTGCTCTCATGAAACCGAGTGTGGATCAGTTGGCAAGAAACTGCAGAAAGTTTTGTTGTTGTTGTTTAGTCGTGTCCGACTCTTCGTGACCCCATGGACCAGAGCACGCCTGGCACTCCTGTCTTCCACTGCCTCCCACAGTTTGGTCAAACTCATGCTGGTAGCTTCGAGAACACTGTCCAACCATCTTGTCCTCTGTCGTCCCCTTCTCCTTGTGCCCTCCATCTTTCCCAACACCAGGGTCTTTTCCAGGGAGTCTTCTCTTCTCATGAGGTGGCCAAAGTATTGGAGCCTCAGCTTCAGGATCTGCCTTTCCAGTGAGCACTCAGGGCTGATTTCCTTCAGAATGGATAGGTTTGATCTTCTTGCAGTCCATGGGACTCTCAAGAGTCTCCTCCAGCACCATAATTCAAAAGCATCAATTCTTCGGCGATCAGCAAATGACCAGAATAATTCCTTATCTGGGTGCTCCCATGAAACCGAGTGTGGATCAGATGGCAAGAAACTGCAAAAAGTACACACCCACACCCACACCCTTTCATACCTTCCATTTACACCAAGGCCAAGGCCATGACTTGCGTGAGAATGTTCAGTCATTTTGGGAGTCCCCGTTGTCCCGCTGGTGAAATAGATAGCCATTGGGTCACAGCTCTTTGTGACTGCACAGTCATGCTTGGCAGGTGCAAGTCTGTAAGACATAGAATAAATTGAAGCTTGTGTGATCAAAATAACCACAGCCTTCAAGCGCACGACTCTTGCCAAATTTGTCCCGCAGAGAGATTATGTATAGAGACAAGTCTGTATACTTACTTCAACAAGTCGCTGAAGTTTAGCCAGTCCTCCCTGTGGTTCCTTGACACAATGAGCTTGAATTCTAGAGATGGGCATTTGGAAGCTATGGTATCTACTGCTGGGGCCAGAACCTGGTCAGTAATGATACATCTGGCCTTTGAAGTCTGGACTCGGTGGAGAATGTCTTTCGCCGTCAGCTGTGTTGTCCCAGGAATAAGAACGGTTCCTAATGAGGGATCAAATGCCGAAGATTAAAAATGACGTCACATGTTTTCAACTTAAGAGCGATGAAGAAGTGGTTAGAGCAGGGGTAGGCAACCTAAGGTCTGTGGGCCGGATGCGGCCCAATCGTCTTTTCAATCCGGCCTGCGGATGGTCCGGGAATCAGCGTGTTTTTACATGAGTAGAATGTGTCCTTTTATTTAAAATGCAACTCTGGGTTATTTGTGGGGCATAAGAATTCGTTCATTTTTTATTTTCCAAAATATAGTCCGGCCGACCACATGGTCTGAGGGACAGTGGACCGGCCCACGGCTGAAAAAGGTTGCTGACACCTGGGTTAGAACATCTGCCGTGCATGTAAACCGTCTCTGGTTCAATTCCTGGAATCTCACACACAAAAGGCTAGAAAAGTCCCTTGTTTGAAACCCAACAGTTCAAATCAGCTTCCTTCATTGCAATGGGAGCACTGAAGGCTTCAGATTTCAAACTGCATGAGGGGGGGGTGAGTCGTACCACAGGGGAGGGGGAGTTAAGGATCCAACTCACTGACTGGATCCAATCCCTGACCCCTGAGCTATGGTTAATATTTAGCATCCAGCTGCAAAACACAGCTGTGCGAGGTGCAAACTGAAACTTTATTAAGGGTGTGTGCAGACGTATATGGGAACAGGACAGAAACTAGGACCCCATCTGCATTATCCATTTAAAGCAGTATCATCCCACTTTAATAGTCATGGCTTTCACCCCAAAGAATCCTGCGAATTCTCAGGCTGCTGGGAATTGTTCCCTTCAGAGTTAGAATTCTCAAAGTGTTTTAACAGTCAATCCCTCTTCTTAGGGAACTCTGGGAATTGCAGCTCTGTGAGGGGAGCTTGTCCTACACTCGAGTAGGACCCTGGTAGAGACACATGCCTGACTGGCATGTTCCCTCCCTCCTGGTCAATCGTTCGGGAGCTTCAAAAGCTTTCTTCTGCCCGAACATCACAGCGACTGATGCCAACAAACATTGGCACACTTAGGGATCTGCAGAGTCTTCGCAGCTTGCGTAACAGACCTCAGCAACTCAGCATTTTGGCTAATCTACCTTATTTACATATAAACACGCATGGAGCACTGCAACATGGCTCCCTCTCTCTCTAGCATCGGACAGCAAAGAGAATGAACAAAGGACAATAGTCCCACCTCACGGAACACAGTAACACAAATATCGTGTCTCCGTCACTTCCCACTTTGTGGAATCAAAACAACCACATCATGTGATAGACAAAAATCCCATGACTGCAGTCATGGAGCAGGAATTCTAACAGTAGGGGCCTCCTAACAATCTCAGCACCCTTGACAAACGACAGTTCCCAGAATTCTTTGGGGGAAGCCCTGACCGATTAAAGTGGTCTGATACTGCTTTAAATGTATAGTGCAGGCGGGGGCTAGAAGAGAAGCAGAGGGTGGTGAAAACATCTGTATAAATCAAGAACATTATCCATGAAAGGATGGCTCAAGTGTTTAGGCAGAGGTCAGCCCCTGAACCAGAAAAATGGGAAGGGATTGATCCTGATCCCACATGGAGAGGGCCCATCCTGCTTCCTCCACCAACCAGCACTTCTCTGCATGCTGCTAACCTGTTCGCATGCAAGCCACATTCAAGAGCCACCATTCAGGAATCCGTGGCAGGATCACAATGACTCTGTCTCCCCTCTGCAGGCCACACTGCTCAGAGAGCACTCTAGCCGCTTTTTTGGAAACGTGGGACAGCTCCACAAAGCTCCACTTCACTTGGTCTCCTTGGTCATTGACCCACCAGAGAGCTGGGCTTGTCGGTCGATTTCCTTCCTGTTGGAATGACAGAGTCAGCTGGCTGTAAACAACCACACTCAGTTGGCAGAACGCTTCTTATGGCCAAGTATGAAGTACTGGTGATAGCTATAGGCCTGTCAATTTTGGTTTCTCATGTTTCAGTTTTAGATTTAGTTATCTAACATCAGTTTGCAATTTAGTTTTTACTTTTTTAAAAATAATAATCAGTTATCGTGAAAATTCCTCAGCAAAATTTCTCTCACTATCCACATTTTGGATGCAATTTTGCCCAATATGCACAATTTTATAAAGCAATCTTCCCTTATACAATACATTTTTGTTTGTTGTGCCCACTAATATAAGCATTTATTCGCACTTTACCCTAGTATTTTGATTTTTCTAAACATTACTTGGGATAGAGAATGGCACTGAAAAACTCACAAAAGTTTGAATTTCAAAGTGTTTCGTCCCATATGTTGTTTTGAAAAGTGCAGTTTAGGATGTATTTGAATGTGAATTGAGCTGAATTTCTGCCCTGTCCCTAGTTAAAGTCATTAATTGGTTAATTTGACATTTCCTGCTTTGCTTTCTCTTTGTCGATGTCTCTACTAGTGGGACCAGCACCAGAATATTGTAATGCTCCTGTTAACAGGTGACAGCCATCTATACCCTTTTCCAGTATACTCCATTCCATTGCCCTCCCCACTAGTTTTCTAGGTCCGCTCAACCTGCATTCTGAACCCACAGAGCATGCTCAGTCCTTATTGGTCTGTTATGTCCCCCCCCTTAGGAGTCCCCCCCCCAAATATTTTGTACTTCTACAAACTTTGTATCCCTCAGGCCTGCTGATACCTCTTTGAGGGCGTATGGTGCAGTTTTGGGTACTAAAATGTAAGCGGCTAGCTTGTGGCCCTCCAGATGATGTTGGACTATAATTCCCATAATCCCTGAACATTGGGCATGCTGGCAGTTGAAGTCAAACAACACTGGAGCAAAGGATCTATTGAAATACAGTGGTACCTCGGGTTAAGTACTTAATTCATTCCGGAGGTCCGTTCTTAACCTGAAACTGTTCTTAACCTGAAGCACCACTTTAGCTAATGGGGCCTCCTGCTGCCGCAGCGCCACCAGAGCCCAATTTCTGTTCTTATTCTGAAGCAAAGTTCTTAACCTGAAGCACTATTTCTGGGCTAGCGGAGTCTGTAACCTGAAGCGTATGTAACCTGAAGCGTATGTAACCCGAAGTACCACTGTATAGGATCATAGCTGTCAACGTTTCCCTTTTTTAAAGGGAAATTCCCTTATTCTGAATAGGATTCCTCGCAAGAAAAGGGAAAAGTTGACAGCTATGTATAGGATGGAATTTAAAACACCCACCACACACTGGCTAGGTTTCTGTGTAACACCAAGCCACAGTAAACAAGGTTTATGAACCAACAACAAACCATGGCTAACAAGGAATGGTTAATTTGTGTTTAACAAACCATGGCCAAACTGCTAAGGTATATAAACCATGGCTTAGAGTTATGTGCGAACCAGACTGCTGTGTTGATGTGCCACATTTGAAAGACTTGACATGAAAAGTGACAGAAAATGTTACCTTTTCCGCCTCAGCCCAGCTATCCACCACATCTTTTGCAAAATTGAAGTATTCTGGCACCTCTGGCTTATATTGTGCTTGTATGGATTCGTAGCCTGAAAAGTTCTGAGCAGCCAGGGCCAGCTGCCATTTGCTGAAGCTTCGGGAAGAAGACAGGCGAAGAGGCCAGAGAGCTCGAAAGGCCGAGGCCTTCGATAATATCATCGAGGTGATGCACGCCATAGTGAGGCCTTCCACAGTATATTACATTCAGTGCATTTTTCATGAGCTGTCTACCTGAAATACATAGGGAAACCATTGTACAACAGAGAAGATACTGGTTTCTTCAGCTTGCTGAGAATTTCAACGTTCTTTTTCTTTATTATTTTATGCAAAATCATTTCTAAACCGCCTATCTCTAAGTATATACAAATAAATGAAACCTAAACACAATAAAACTGTATAATAAAAACAGGAATTAGGTAATAACAGGGTGCAGTCTTATAGGCCAAGAAAATTCTGGAGAGAAAGCATGTCTTTACGAGATGTCAGAAGCAATCAATGGATGATATTTCACATTTTGTTTGCTTGTTTGTTTGTATACTGCTCTTTATTTGGGGCAGGGGAATCTCTTAAAACATGACAAGATTATCAAAACAGAACATTACAAATGGAAATCAGATACGAAAATATGATAAAAGATCTGCATTTGAAGCCACACAATTAGCAAAAAAAATAAATAAAATCATCCCCTAAGAACATCAACAAAAAACCCAGTTAGAAAGCAAACCTGGAAAATGCAATAAACATTCCATGTGTTAAAACATCCCTGGCATGTAAACAAAACCACTGAGGTAGAATCTGCACCTCTTCACCTGACTATTGACCATGCTGGCTGAGGCTGATGGGAGATGAAGTCCAAAACATCTGCAAGGCTGCTCCATCGCATTATACCTCTGAAGTGTCAGTGGGCTCTAGTGCAGTATTCTTCAACCTTGGGTCCCCAGATGTGGGTGGACTACAACTCCCATCATCCTTGACCTCTGGGCTAAGCTGGCAGTGGATGATGGGGGGACACTGGTCATGGGGCAAGTGAATCTTTCTTGTTCCTTTCTCTACTGTTCCAATGATTTGTTCTGCCCTTCATCCCACGTCTGAGTTTTGGTTTAAACTGGAAGAATGTCCACAACGAATTCCAGAACTGGAGGCTACAAAGCCACATTTATAAAACACTACAGGAAAAGCTACAATGATGTGTTTGTTCATACAATTGCCCTGATGTAAACCTTCAGATTAAGGGACGCGGGTGGCGCTGTGGGTAAGAGCCTCAGCGCCTAGGGCTTGCCGATCGAAAGGTCGGCGGTTTGAATCCCTGCGGCGGGGTGCGCTCCCGTTGCTCGGTCCCAGTGCCTGCCAACCTAGCAGTTCGAAAGCACCCCCGGGTGCAAGTAGATAAATAGGGACCGCTTACTAGCGGGAAGGTAAACGGCGTTTCCGCGTGCTGCGCTGGCTCGCCAGATGCAGCTTGTCACGCTGGCCACGTGACCCGGAAAGTGTCTCCGGACAGCGCTGGCCTCCGGCCTCTTAAGTGAGATGGGCACACAACCCTAGAGTCTGTCAAGACTGGCCCGTATGGGCAGGGGTACCTTTACCTTTACCTTTAAACCTTCAGATTATCTCTGAACCTAATTTACCACACGGGATCATTTTGTGCCAGGAGGGTGGGGATCATTCTTGCTATCCTGAGCTACTTCAAGGAAGAATGGACTAAAACAAAGGAACGGAAACCAAGTTTTTGTTTCTCAAACCCTACCAAGCCTCCCCTCCTATTTAGATTCTGGGTTATTTATGGCGTTTTCTTCTGGGTTATTTGAAAAAAAAAACAACGCCTTGAGAAAATAACCTCACAATATGTGAAAGAGAAGAGCGAAAGATAGATAAAGATTGGCTTGTTTTCTAGATGCCCACATGTGTTCCTGCCCATTGGTCACATAATCACCCACATGAAGCTTGATATAATCATAGTTACAAATATGGTCTTTGAGGGTGTGAGCATTTTATCAATGCACATCTGTTCAACATTGGCAAAGGGGAAGAAACAGAAAGGAATAGTAGGGTAGTCATCTTCTTCTTCCACATTCACTGCATACATTTTAAGTGATATGTTACCACTTTAAACAGTCGTGGCTTCCCCCCAAAAACCCTGGAAGCTGTGGTTTGTTAAAGGCAATGCTTTTTTTTTTAATGTTTAGAGGTACTGCCATTTTGACTCAAGAAAATCACAATTTTATACAGTGGTACCTCTGGTTGCGAACAGGATCCGTTCCGTAGCCCCGTTCGCAACATGAGCAGAATGCAACCCGCGTCTGCGTGGGTCACGATTCACCACTTCTGCGCATGCGCATGATGTCATTTTGAGCGTTGGCGCATGTGTGAACAGCGAAACCAGGAAGTAACCTGTTCCATTACTTCCGGGTCACCGCAGGACATATCCTGAAAGAACGTAATCTGAATCGAACGTAACAAGAGGTATGACTATACAGTGGTACCTCGGGTTAAGTACTTAATTCGTTCCGGAGGTCTGTTCTTAACCTGAAACTGTTCTTAACCTGAAGCACCACTTTAGCTAATGGGGCCTCCTGCTGCTGCTGCGCTGCCGGAGCACAATTTCTGTTCTCATCCTGAAGCAAAGTTCTTAACCTGAAGCACTATTTCTGGGTTTGCAGAGTCTGTAACCTGAAGCGTATGTCACCTGAGGTACCACTGTACTTCAAATTGGGAAAAATGCACAAATACAGTAAATGGACAAAAGTACAAAGACTCACAAAATGTTGAGGGGTATGCGTATCCCTGTGTCCCTCCAGAAAAAAGCACTGGTTAAAGGTGTTGAGTGTTGTTAGAAGACCCCTATTCCCCTCACAGAGCTATAATTCTGAGTTCCTCGCAAAGAGGGATTGATAGTTAAACTACTCTAAACAGTCACTTATAAATAACCCACTCAAAGTTCTTCTTCTCCTTGTCTTGTCCTCACATGGCCAGAGTTAATCCAGGTCAAATGCAACAGTGCTTGGGGAAGGAACACAACAGTTAGCAGACAGCTCAAAAACTTTTAAAATTAGTTACACTTTTCCACAAGGGTAAAAACTGAACAGGGTAATAGTGCATTTTGTCCACTGTCTCTCTCTCATGTCAAGCAGCAGGCTGAAACACCCCCAGCCAGCTGGTCTACTCATGAGTAAAACCCTCCAGAAACAGCTACTTGATTTAGAGATCTCCGTCCTTGAACTTGCATCTATAGCAGCTATTCCATCAGGCAGAGAGAGAGGGATTTTGATGAAATGGCAAGGTCTCTCCATGGCATCTTCTGAAAAATTAGCAACGTTTCGGCTTCTCTCTATTCCTGCTGTTACCTGCAAGAGTTTGTTACTAAGAATTCATGCCTGAGCTTGTTCTTTCTCCCTTCTCCCTCCCAGTCCCTTTTTCCTTTTGTGTTGTGAGCCTGAGGGAAGGGACTGTCTTTTTCCACTGATCTTTTAAGCCTCTGTGGGAGCTTTGGTTTGGCAGAAGAGTGGGACAACCACCACCACCACCACCACCGCAACAACAACAACAACACAGCTGGGCCAACCCGCTATTTAGACCCCAATGTTCCTTGGGATGTCTTCTCTCGGAACTATGCTTTTTAAAGATTACAAAATCCAGAAATGGACTTTAAGCAGGGAGGATGCCAGGTGCAAAGAAATGCATATTGTTCCAAGTTAATGCTAGGATTTATTCTGGGGAAACCAGTTTGTCCAGCCTTAAGGGACTTTACAAAAGAAATTAGGTTCAAACAAATACCATTCTGTCCCATTTGGAAACACCTGTATAACTGCAATGGTTTTATTTGGGGTTGGTTTTTTTAAAACATGGAATATTCACAGAATCACAGAATTGTAGAGTTGGAAGGGACTACGAGGATCACATAGCCCAATTACTAATTTAATTACTATTTAATTATTAATAATAAATAAATAAATTATTAATTATTATTTAATTAACACTAATAATGGTTGTTTTTGTGACCTGCCCTGGGACCTCATAGTGAAGGTCGGTTAAGAAACGCCTTAAAAAGAATCTATTATACATCAACTGTGTTTGCCTTTCTTTCAACGAGCAATCTGCCCGAAGTGTGGCAGCAGCGAGCAAGCGAAAGGCTGCGCGCTCTGGGGCCGCCGCCGAAGCGCTCGGACGAGAGAAAGTTGGGACAAAGAAAGCGAAAGCGAGCAAGCAGCCACGTCGGAAGCTGTTCGATTACCCCGATCTCGGCCTCCGCGAAGTTCAGCGAGCAGCAGCAGCACCGCCCAGGGCGAGAGGAGGAGGAGGAGGCGGGAGGGAGGGGAGACACTTACGCCGTTGCCTACAGTTTGTTGGACGGGCTTGGCGGAGGCAACTTGGCTGAGATCGATCCCTCGACGGCGCCACTCGCCCCTCGCCAAGAGGAAGGGGCCGTCCCTGCCTGCCTTGGGGGAAGAGGCTGGCCCGCCCAGGCACTTGTTGCAGGGGAGGACGGACTGGTCCGGCGGAGTTTCCTCGGCCGCCTCTCTGGCACTGCGCGGAGTCCCCCGAGGAAAAAGCCAAGGTCAGTGAACTCTGGACTGCTTCGCGGTGGGATTCAGTCGCATGCCTGCCAATACAGCTTGCGCAATCATAGGGCATAATAAGATGCAGGATCAGGCCAGCGGCCCATCCAGCATCCTGTTCTCGCAGGCGTCTGCACCAAATCTTCCAAAATTCAGCATCCTTGGATGTCCACGGGGGTCTAGGTAAAGGTAAAGGGACCCCTGACCATTAGGTCCAGTCGTGGCCGACTCTGGGGTTGCGGCGCTCATCTCGCTTTATTGGCCGAGAGAGCCGGCGTACAGCTTCCGGGTCATGTGGCCAGCATGACTAAGCCACTTCTGGCGAACCAGAGCAGCGCACGGAAACGCTGTTTACCTTCCCACCAGAGCGGTACCTATTTATCTACTTGCACTTGGACGTGCTTTCGAACTGCTAGGTTGGCAGGAGCAGGGACCGAGCAATGGGAGCTCACCCCGTCGCGGGGATTCGAACCTCTGACCTTCTGATTGGCAGGTCCTAGGCTCTGTGGTTTAACCCACAGTGCCACCCGCATCCACGGGGGTCTAGTGGGATGGGAAAAGGAGGTAAGCTTGTTTCTGTCCACACAGAGCACGCAGATCCACAGAGGACCGTAGAACATCGAAGCTGTTTTATCGCAAAGCAGACCAGTGGTCCATCTAGCCCAGTGTTGTCTACACCGACTGGCAGCAGCTGTCCAGGGTTTCTGTCAGGCAGGAGCAGGCATAGGCAAACTTGGCCCTCCAGATGTTTTGGGACTACAACTCCCATCGTCCCTGACCACTGGTCCTGTTAGCTAGGGATGATGGGAGTTGTAGTCCCAAAACATCTGGAGGGCTGAGTTTGCCTATGCCTGGGCAGGAGGTTCTTCCAAAGTTTTGCAGGAAGGGAAGTGATGGGGAAGTGCTCTTGGAAAGTGCAAGAGAACACTTACAATCATGGAACTGTAGATTTGGAAGGGACCCTGAGGGCCATCTAGTCCAACCCCCTGCAATGCACTCGTTTTGACACAGTGTTCCCTAAGTGCAATGAACCGGTTGCCTGGAAATCCCTGCTCTGTGTCATGATGGAAGCTGAGCTGCAAAGGGTTGCTTCCAGCTAAGTTTTATCGAAAGCGGTCCCATTGAACTAGCCATGCCCATTGATTTCAATGGGTCTACTCAGATTAGGATGACCAGTGGACACCATTGCAAGCATCTTTAAAAGGTGAACTCTCGATCATTGGAGGTATTTAAGCAGAGATGGGATGACCATCTGTTGGGGATTTGTTAGCTGGGCTTTCTTCATTGCAGGGGACTGAACAAGACATAGGCGCCGACTCCATGGGGCTTGAGGGGGCCCGAGCCCCCTCAAAAATTCGTTTGGGGGGGCTCTGCCCCCCCAATAATCTCCGGCGCCCCTCCAGCAGAGCGCCATCGCCGCCCCTCCCCCAGCCCAAAATGCACAGGGAGGGGCGGGCTGCATGCCTCCTGCCCTCCCTCCCGAGCAAAAGCTCCACCCAATTTCCTTTGGAGCTGATTAATAGGCGCAGCACGCTCTCCCCTATTCGCTCACGAGGAGGCGGCGCCACTTTATTTGCATATTCATGAGCTTATTTATTATTCATGAGCTTTCCCGGGGCCCCCCAATATTTTTTATAAGTCCGCGTCCCTGGAACAAGATGACCATTGGCATTCCCTTCCATTTCTACAATTCTGTGATTCTTTGGGCAGGGGGGCCTTGGTGGAGAGGGTGGGGTCTGCTCTGCTCCAATGTGATTGCACCACGATTGTTCGAGAGATTTCAGTCAGGTAATTCGGACGGCTTGGCTTCGCTCCATCCCCTGCCCCTGCTCAGTGTCATGTATCTTACTTTGCTTACATAAAAGTGTTTCCCACGTGATGCACGGCGATATTGTGAAACTCTCTTTGACTCTCTCTCTTCCTTCTGTTTATTTAGCCGTTTATTTAGCTGTTTATTGAGCCTTGTATACTTTGTTAGCCACGGGACGCGGGTGGCGCTGTGGGTTAAACCACAGAGCCTAGGACTTGCCGATCAGAAGGTTGGCGGTTCAAATCCCTGTGACGGGGTGAGCTCCCGTTGCTCGGTCCCTGCTCCTGCCAACCTAGCAGTTCGAAAGCTTGTCAAAGTGCAAGTAGATAGTTCGAAACTACATCGAAGTGCAAGTAGATAAATAGGTACCGCTCCGGAGGGAAGGTAAACGGCGTTTCCGTGCACTGCTCTGGTTCTCCAGAAGCGGCTTAGTCCTGCTGGCCACATTACCTGGAAGCTGTCTGCGGACAAACGCCGGCTCCCCTGGCCTACAGAGCGAGATGAGTGCGCAACCCCAGAGTCGGTCACGACTGGACCTAATGGTCAGGGGTCCCTTTACCTTTACTTTGTTAGCCAAGGACCCTCAGAAAATTGGGAGTCAGCCCCTCCTCTCTTCTTTGTACATATATGAGACATCTGCAGCATGTGAAAACAGGGCGTCCTGCACAAACATCACTCATCCATTTTGCAGGGTGGAGCTTGGGAGATGAGCTAATAGATTTGGGAAGGACGGCAGCTCAGGAGGAGAGCATCTGCTTTGCATGCTGAACGCCCCTCATTCAATCCTTGACATCTCCACATAGGGCTGAGAACATCCCTTGAGAGCTGCTGCCAGTCAGTGTAGACAACACTGAGCTATATGGACTCAATATAAGTCGGTTTCCTGTGTTTGGGATCCATAAGGTTGTGGCTCTGCTGCTATGTTGACTGCATTGAGGCTTACAAAGTCTTCAGGGTTTTTTCTGCTTTCAAAACATGTCACTGCAGAGAGACCAAGCTGGTTGATGCCCTCAAGCTGCCATGAAGACCTTGCTTCGATGCTTCTGGAGCCTGCGGCCGCCTCCTTGCACTCTCTTTCGCCAAGCCAAGAGACACCTGGCCTCTCCGATCATCTCGCATTACGAAGCTATAAACCATGGTGAACTGGATGTGCCTGAGTACTTTAATTTTGCCAGGGATGTCCTGGACAGGTGGACCCAGGAGGAAAAGGTAGGGGTTTGGCTGTTTTGGGGAGGAAGAAGGAAAACCGGATGTTAATAGTACTGTGGTGCTGCACTTGGTCTCCCTGGAAGAACCTGAGACTTGTTTTTTAAAATAAAAATAAAAATTAAACAATAGTAACATTTATATACTTCTCAAAGTTTATACACCTCTTGATTGTAACTACCACCAGCACCACAACAACTCCCAAAGTGGTGTATAAAACAGATCAAACAAATTATCAATAAGAATGAACAACAATAACTTGAGATTTTTTAAATTTTTAAATAGCAATAGATTACTAAAAACAGATTAAAGCTTGCATCAAGAAGAAATACTTCAATAATGCACAAGAATAAAGAAAAACAATGCAACTGAATAATTTTTTACAAATAATATATATATATATATAAATTTGGGTTGTTTCATTCATATTCCCTGGAGGGAAAATATTTTGATTAGCATTGCTGGTGTATGAGGGTAGTAATATTTTTAGAGGGTTTCTTTTATTCATAAATATCAGGATGCCTTCAAAGTCTTACGATATTCTCATTTAAAGAGGAAAAGTTACTAAGAATTCCACATAGTAGCATATTTCACAGGAGCCATTTGAAACATCAATAATATACAAAATAATTTTTTGCAACATAGTTGAAAACGAAGCATAGAGGCCGGTGGCTTCATTCAGCGATGTGTTCCCCAAACTGAAAGATGCAGGGAAGTCTTGGATTCAACCCTCCCAGACCGCCTGATTCTTGTGTCAGGAGCATCCTCCTCCATGATGCCTGCTGCTGCTTCTTCTTCTTCTTCTTCTTCTTCTTCTTCTTCTTCTTCTTCTTCTTCTTCTTCTTCGGTGATCACTTGTAGCCAAATAAGATTGTCTTCCATAAACACGGTTTTAACAATGAGTCCGTAAGTGACTGTGGAGGCCAATTCTGGATCCACACGTCCTTCCACAGTGGGGACATTGGTTTCCGGGTGGGAGTTGATCACGGTGTGGATTTGCCAAGCATGCCTTCCTCTTAGCGCATTTCTCCCTTGCGTCCTGAGGTAAAGGCTGCTCTCCAACTGGAGCGCTCTCAGGCCAGTGTTTCCTGGTTGCCGGTGTTTATACTACATTTTTAAAGATTTGCCTTGAGAGAGTCTTTAAACCTCTTTTGTTGACCACCAGCATTTTAAGTTCGGAATAGAGTAGTTGCTTTGGAAGACGATCATCAGGCACGTGCACAACAGGACCAGTCCAACGAAGCTGATGTTGCCTTTAATCGCCGTTTGTTCCTTCTGCTGACTTCAACTGCAGCTCAGTGATTAAGCAGGTGTGTTGCATGCAGAAGGCCTCAGGTTCAGAGAGACCTCCATCTGAATCCCTGGAGAGCTTCTGACAGTCGCTGCGGCATAATATTGAGACAGATGGACCAATGGTCTGACTCGGCCTGAGGCGGCTTCCTGTGTTCCTTCTCTCAAACATAGGAGGGGGAAGGCTGCTTAAGGGAAGGGCTCTAGCTCAGTGATAGTACCTCTGCACACAGAAAGTCCTGCGTTTGATTCCCGGCATCTCCAGTTAGGGCTAGGAGGGTCCCCTGCCTGAAAACCCGGACAGCTCCTGCTGATCAGTGTAGAGAAAACCAGAACAGATGTACCAACGGACTGGCTCTTTCTAAGGCATCTTGCATTCCTATGATGTAGGCCTGCAACATAAAAATATATGGAGTTTGGCTGCAGGTGAGGAAATAACCCACAAAGTAATAGCGCTGACAGGAATAGAGAACAATGGTTGTGTTTTTTAGCTACCTGACATGAAGGACATGAAGTTGTTTTAAATGTTGCTTTTAATGTTATAACCCATCCTAGGACCTTATGTCCAAGGGAGAGTAATAAATGATTTACTGTAATGATGATGATGATGATGATGATAAATTAATACTTACCTGACTGCTGGTGTGATTGCCAGGGGTGTTGATGCCTGCTGATGTTCATTGCTTGTCTTTAGCTGTCTAGTTATATTTTGTTGTACATCCTTGAAAATTAGTAAAAAATACTTTGGAAACAGCAGCACAGAAGCAAGATCCTGGCACTAGGTATCACGTGCATACAGACACACACACACACCACTACTTTCCTTTTTCTTTGCCTATTTTTTAAAAAAATATTTTAAATGAAGAATTCCCCATAATACAGTAAGATTACAACTACAGAAAATACAAATCAAATAAGTAAAATATGGAGTCCTCTCTTAAAAGTAGTTCTCGGCCCTTACCACTCACAGAGAACAGTAGCTCCTGCTCCTCCCAGCTCTGACCTGGGATAGTTCCATTCTCCTCCAAGTCCTAGAGACCCGATATTTCCCTATCTCTCACCTAAGGTCCTCCATCGGCCGCAACTGACCACACACTGCTATATGATTCATCCATATAAAATGGCTCTGTGGATTAGGTTGTTAATAACGTCTTCTCTGCTAGGATGGAAAGAGGCCTCCGAACCCGGCCTTCTGGTGGGTGGACGACCAGAGCAAAGAGGTGAAGTGGAGCTTTGAGGAGCTGGGAGTCTTATCCCGGAAAGCTGCCAACATGCTGGCCGATCCCTGCGGCTTGCAGAAGGGCGACAGGGTCATGGTGGTTCTTCCAAAGCTTCCCGAATGGTGGCTGATGAATGTGGCTTGTATCCGGACAGGTCAGTCAAGATTTGGGGAAAGAAAAGAGGAGGCCCCCCTCCCCAGAAAAGGTGCTGTCTTCCCCAGTGAGAAGATTTAGCAGTAGACAAATATTCTCCACTGACAGCTTGACACAAAAAAAAGCAGCAACACAATTTGTGGGAAAATTGGGAGGAAAGGGCATGCGTTGCAGGGATCTCAGCTAAAGAATCCATGACATTGTACTCTTTGGGTTTGGTCAGACAACCAGCTACAGATCCACCTAACAATTTACATTCATTCAATCCCACGTTTTACCAGCTTCCTTGAAAAAATACCATGGGGAACATTGTCAAAAGCAGGCATCCCCAAACTCAGCCCTCTAGCTGTTTTGGAACTACAACTCCCATCATCCCTAGCTAATAGGACCAGTGGACAGGGATGATGGGAATTGTAGTCCCAAAACAGCTGGAGGGCCGAGTTTGGGGATGCCTGTTCAAAAGCATTACCGAAATCAAGATTTCAGTTTTAAAATAAATTACTCTGTGGGAGGGAGTAGGAGCTGCAGAAGCGATGAAACCCATGTTCCTGGCTAGCTTCAGATGTCTGCATTTTTTTAGAACGGATAAGTATTTTATTTATTTATTCACTGCAGGGCTGGGGAACCTCAGGCTTGGGAGGCAAACATGGCCCTCTAAGCCTCTCTATCTGGCCCTAGGAATTCTCCCTGGCCACACCCCCGGATGTGTCCTTGAACTCCCATGATGCCTCTTGCTTGTCTGGAAAGAGGATCTAGAAGGGTGTGAGAATGTGTGGAGTTTGCAGGTTTTGCTCTTCCCACTTAAGCCCTTGGCCACACCCACCAATGTCAGGTGTCCCTCAGAAAGCTGTCCAGACAGGAATGTGACCCTTTGGCTGAAAATGGTCCCCTATACCTGCTTTGCAGGGTCTAAGTTGGCCCTCTTCCTCCTAGGAATGTCGGGACTCCAAAAATTGTTCCCCCGCCATTTTTTCCACACGTGAGGAAGGTTAGCCTCAGAGATAGTGACTGGCCCAATGAGTTTGACAGCTTACTGGGAATTTTTACCTCAGTCTGCCCAGAGGTAGTCCAACAGTCTAGCCCAGGAATGGGGAACCTTTGGGCCCTCAGGCATTGCTGAACTACAACTCCCATCAGCCCCTAACAGCTAAAATAAGAGAACCCAATGATGATTGATTTGTGGAAGAGTGGAAGCCTCTTTTGGATTATTGAAATAAATATTATAGTATGATAAATTCATGATCAAGATTTGAACTATGTGGAACAGAAGGAATTAAAGATTATTGTATTGTTGTTATGATATAAGAGAGAGGAGATAAGGTGCAGCATAGGGGAGAAATAATAAAAAAAAACCATGGAAAACAGGGTGGGAAGCCAATAAAACAAAAGAAAAATTCATTATGTATTGGAGTGTATATTAAATTTTTGAAATTTAATAAAATATAAATTCTCTGCTTCTTTTCTAGGCATTGTTTTCATCCCAGGGACGCCCCTGTTAACTTCCAAAGACATCTCCTACAGGCTCCAGGCTTCCAAAGCCAAATGCATCGTGGTCAGCGACACCTTGGCCCCTGCAGTGGACTCAGTCCTGTCTGAATGCAAGTCTCTGAAAACCAAGCTTCTTGTGTCCGACAGCAGCAGAGATGGCTGGCTGAACTTCAGGGATCTCATCCAGTAAGCATTGCAACAGACATGAATCGAAAGCAGTAGAGATATTATTTAGATCAGTGGTCTTCGGCTGGTCCAGATTAATACACAGGTCTGACTTCCTAAGCTGCAACATGGCATCCGTTTTCACTTTTGATTTATACTTAATAGCAGAGCTGGACCGCCCATCAGACTGGGTGAGGCAGCTGTGTCAGGCAGCATCCCCCAAGGGGCGGCGTGTCTTTTCTGCCACCAGGCACACCTTGGGCTCTAGAGGCAGAGAGGAGCTGGCAGCAGAGCTCTCCTCTTGCCGAGTTGGTGAGAGGGGAGGCATTCAGCCACTGGGAGAGCAGGGTTTGAATCCCCATGCAGCCATGAAGCTCAGAGGGTGACCTTGGGCTAGCTACCTGTTATGTACTGAAGTTCTCACCCTGGGCCAGCAGGGGGATACTGTAGATAGTTATGCAAGTAAGGGATCGAAAGTGATGTTCAGTGATTGGATAGTTTTAGAAAATTGTTACAGTTACGTTGTACTGGAGCTCTATATAAGCAGGCTGACTGAACCCTTCAGTTCAGTTCTGTCCTGGCCTGTGAATAAACAAGAGCTGTTTGAAGAATCGCTGTGTCGTCTGATATGTTCACCCACAACTTAACACTACCGTCTCTTAGCATAACCTACCTCACAGGTTGTTGTGAGGATGAAATGGAGAGGAGGAGAACCATGTACACCACCTTGAGATCCTTGGAAGATAAAGGTGGTACATAAATTTAATAATAATAATAATAATAATAATAATAATAATAATAATAATAACAATAATTTGAAAGTAGTACCATAGTGTTTTCAGCCTATGGTGTGGATGTGGCCAATGACCCACTGGATTTCTGCCATGGGTTACCGAATGGGTGCAGGATTCCAGCTGCTAGGTTCTGCTCCTGATGTGTGTGTGGCTGCTGCGGAAAGGGAAAGTGTTGCCTGTCAATGCCATGCGATGTGATTGCTTTTTAAGAGCTGCGCCTGCCGACCATGACTGCACAAAGACCAAGAGCGAGGACACAATGGCCATTTACTTTACAAGCGGAACCACGGGAGCTCCCAAAATGGTGGAACATTCCTACTGCTTCCATGGCATTGGATTGATATCTGCCGCCAGGTAAAGCTTCAAAGTGCTATGGTAGCAAAAGCAGGGAATGGATGAGTCATAATAATAATAATAATTTATTATTTATACCCCGCCCATCTGGCTGAGTTTCCCCAGCCACTCTGGGCGGCTCCCAATCAAATGTTAAAAACAGTACAGCATTAAATATTAAAAACGTCCCTAAACAGGGCTGCCTTCAGATGTCTTTTAAAGATAGGATAGCTGCTTATTTCCTTCACATCTGAAGGGAGGGTGTTCCACAGGGTGGGCGCCACTACCGAGAAGGCCCCCTGTCTGGTTCCCTGTAACCTCACTTCTCTCAATGAGGGAACCGCCAGAAGGCCCTCGGAGCTGGATCTCAGTGTCCGGGCTGAATGATGGGGGTGGAGACGCTTCTTCAGGTATACATGGCATTCTGGATTGGGGCCTTCTTTAGGGATCCTCTAATGACAGGGGTGGGGAATAGGATGCGGCTGCTGAGCTACATTCTGAGCCCTTCTCCTGGTCAGATGGGATGGAGGAAGAATACGATTTGGCTTACTTTTAAAGGATCTACATTGGTATCTTCTCAACATTATTAAATAGAGTGTTTTGTAATGCTTAATGGCAGTTTCCCATTGTCAGCGGCTCGCTGCTCTACAGTTCGCCACCTGTATGGACTTTGCACTCTTTAGCCGACTCACCTTCTGCCTGCTTCAGCCTGATTTGCAGCACTTTTGCTGAGTCATCCTGTAACCTGCTTCCCAGAATCCTGATGCCCCGAGTCAGCAACTGGTTCCCCGTCTTCTGCTCCTTTTCCACATACATAGGCGCTGCATGGGTTTGTCTCCTTCGGCTATATTCTGGAATACGTCGGACCCAGGATGGGTTAAGACGACCTGGAGTGGTGTTTTTGGTCCATGGATCAATGGGTCGTGCGTCTTTGTACATCACCTGCCGCAATTCGAACCCGCCATCGTACTGAACGTAAGCGTGCAGGGCATTGCAGTGCTCTTTATGATGGTTCAGAAACTTCAGTTGACCCTAAATGCATTAACCGAGTTACTGATTGTGGTTCTGCTTGGAGCTTGTACGGTGGTACCTTGACTAAATTCCAGTCTATAAGTCCGTTTTGGACTAAGTCCAATTGCAACCCGGAAATGAGTGCTCCGGGGTGAGTCTTTTTTTGATGTAAGTCGGGCCCTGCTGCTGTTTTAGGGGTCGCTTTTCATCGTCTGGTTCCCATTGAGGGTGTTTCGTTTGTTAATTGAGTCCCTCACTGCTAATCAGAGGCTTCCTGTTGAGTCTGCCAGCTGTTTAGTCCTGAGCACTCACGCAACACAGTGATATTTGGAGGTTTTGTTTTTGCTTTTGTTTTTGCATTTTGGTTTGCGTAGCTTTTTCAGTTTTTTGACTGTGACTTCGTTTTATGGGACTGACCTGTGACTGTGGCTTGTGACTTCGTTTTTGTGACTTGTTTTTGTTACTGTGTGGAACCCAGTTCAGCTACTGGTTGGTTGTTGATTGTGTGACTGCAGAAATGGATAAAAGCCCCCATCCAAACAATGACTATCATCATGTTATTCCCCGCCCCCATCATATTTATTTTATAGTACAGTACATTGATTATTGCCTTCATTTTATGGATCAATGGTCTCATTAGACAGTAAAATTCCTGTTAAATTGCTGTTTTTCATTGTCTAGAACGGATCAATCCATTTTCAATTACTTTCAATTACACCTTGTTTTAAGTCTGCTTTGTTTTAAGACCGGACTTCCGAGACGGGTTATGGTCTTAAATCAAGGTACCACTGTATATAAATCCTGTTTTAAAACAGCTGCACTGGTTGCACATTTGTCTTTGGGGCCCAATTCAAAGTTCACATATTGGTGATTGAAGCTAATGGCAAATGTCCTATGATTCTCATTTAACCCAGTAGACATAGTCATGCCTCCTGGGGCAACAGAGAATAACTCTTTGCCTATTTCTGTGTGGCAGGGCCATAAGCAGTGATATCACCTTCCCTAGTCAATCTTCTCTTCAGGTCTTCACATACCCCAAAACAAAAAAGGCACTGTGCTCTGTGCACCCTCCAACTTTCCCTGTTTGTTAGCGGAAGCCCCTGTTGCCTGTTAAATCATCCTTGGGAAAGCATGTACGCAAATTCATGGAGTACAAGGCTATAAAAAAATTACTGATGGCACCTGTCTGGCCACTGAGAGAACAGGATGTTGGACTAAATGGACCATTGGACTTGATCCAGTAGGCTCTTCCTAGGTTCTGATTGTCCCTTGTTTTGACTCTGTAACAGTGTCAATACATGGCCCATCCACCTAAACTCACTGCTGGTGGAGACGGCGTCCCAAGCAACACATTTTGGGAGAGTGCTCTGATGGTTGTGATTTGATTGTCTCTATGTTAAACCATTGTAGCCCTGGCGAAAGAAAGGGATCTAGCAAAACTTCACTAAGGAGAGGCTCTTTACCTGTTGTGAGGTGGAAGTTTAACCAGCATGTAAGAAATCTCGCCCAGGCTATGGTCTCTACCTTGTGTTGACCTCCCTCTAGACACAAGGCTGCATAGGTGAAATATACTCAGAGTCGAGAATGGATTTCATGCTCTTTATTCAGCTCATAGTGGTGAGGAGGAATGAAAGTCCCCTCAAAGTATCTGCTTTATATACATTATTTACACAATGGGCTGCATGTGATTGGCTAATTCTGGAATTCTCCTGTAGGCCAATCAGGTTGTGGATTCACTTCCATCTGGAGCTGGATTGGATGGCTCCTGCAGACCAATCATACTGCTGCATTGTTCTAGGACCAATCAGACTGCTGCATTTTGGATCCTATTGTTCTAGGACCAATCAGACTGCTGCATTTTGGATCCTATTCAACTCAGTACATAACAATAGGGTACACAACGTGGGACAGCAAAAATCTTAAAAAGGAAAGCTGCCTGCACTCGTTCTACCAGCTGGGTAAACCCTGGCAGCCAGACTGGAATTCCGTAGAGCAATTGAGCTATAACTTTGGCGTTGAAGACCTTGAGGGCAGAGGGGATATGCGAATAACCTCTTGTTATAAAGAAGCACATTATGACCTGCATAGACAAGGTACAGCAACTTGGGCTGTCAGTGGAATTTTTGCAATCGATGTCCCTACCATCTACCAAGGCTATAATAAAAACTAGGTTGTGGGACATTGAACACCAGGAACTAACAGCAGCAGCAGAGAAAACATGTTCCCCTCTTAACTTTCAACTTTCTTGGGCACATGAAATTAACCACAATTATCTTGAATTTTTGCTTAATCCTCAAGAAAGGGCATTTTCACTGGCCAGGTTTTAATTCAAATCCTTCAAACCTCCTATGGGGAAGGTTCTTGGGAATGGCGGATGGGCGAATGCCCATGTGAAGACCATCAGGTGGAAACTCTTACACATATGGTTCTTAAATGTAAACTATATGTTGATCTCCGCCAGCAGTTCCTAGATCAACTCTGCATCCCCAAATGGAAACCAGAGTTAGAGGTCCTACATTTTCTATTATTGGGGAATAATCAGGAGCTCACCAAGTTAGTGGCTAAATATCTTTATCTGATTTTCGTCATCGAAACACATTGCAGATGTCTGATCTCCCTGGAGACCTAGAGATGTAATGTTAGACTGCTTTGCCTCTTTCATTTGACAAATGTTTTGTGTCACTGGGAAGGCGGTAATTCCGTATTGATTTGCCATGGGTGTTTGTACGTGATGCCAATAAAAGATTTGATGATCTTGATTGTCTCTATCTAGACTCTTGCCCGATACCCAATCACCACTTTCTGCACAGCTCCTACAGGATTCCGTATGTTGGTGCAGCAGGATCTTGCCAGGTACTATTCACTGGACTAACTGGAAAAGCAAATGCAAGAGGAAATGCCCTGTGTGAGCTGATGGGTGCCCTCCAGATTGTTGCCCTCGGGAGGGTTTGTGGCCCTCGGGCTGATGGGATTCCCCGCCCCGATCTAGGAAATGCGTGTGAAAATGCATGTGTGTCTAAGAGAGCAGCATCCGTCCAGTATATGGAGAAGGGTCAGAGCTCAGAAGTGGAGCATCTGCTTTGCGTGCAGAAGGCCCCAATCCCCAGCATCTCCAAGTAGGGCTGGGAGACACCCCTGTCTGAAACCCCGGAGAACTGTTGCCAGTCAGTGAAAACAATACAGAGTGAGATGGACCAGTGGGCCAGCTCTGTATAAGGCAGCTTTCTATGTTCATTAACTTCCTGTAGGATAAATAATGTTGTTTTTTTCAGATAGTGCTGTGTTTCCATTTTAAATCATGGAGGTTTTGGGGAGAGTATGGCTGAGTGAGCAGGAACATTTCCCGCTGCAACATTTTGTTGCAGTCATGGGTGGGGTGGGCAGTTGCTGCCCCTGGATGAATCATAACCCCTAGGTTCCTACCTTTCATTTTTTTAAAAAAGAGTAAATGCATAGAACCTGAGACAAAACATACAGGCAACACTCTCTCTCTCTCTCTTTAAAATTAGCCTGTTCCTTGCTTTCAGTTTCACTTTGTCTGCCCGCTACCCCTGCCCTGAAAAATTATTGTAGGCACCCATGGGTGCCAGCCTCACTTGTGGGTTTACTAATTGTCGCCATTTCTTATCTAGCTACAAATTCCCAAGCCTGGAGCATTGTGTAACAGGAGGGGAACCGCTCAATGCAGAGGTGTTGCAGCGATGGAAAACCCACACAGGGGTGGATATCTATGAAGGCTATGGACAAACAGAAACAGTATGTTTATCTTCATTCTGGCATGGCTGTGCATCTGGCAAACTCACCACAATGCAGTTGATAGAACTTTTAAATCAAGGGTGGTGTGGGGAAGGCCTTTTCAGCCCAGCCTTTCCTGAGAAAACTTCCAGGGGCCGCATGCCAGTGGGCTGAATATGAAACACAAAAATTGCCTCTGTATAGGAGGCTGGTTTCCACATACACTTCTGTAGCCCTTTTGCTCCTAGACAAAAAACTCTGTCTATCTATATTTCCTATCCGTCTTTGTTTTGAAGCAGCTGGGGGAGTAAAGGCTTGCATTTGGGAATTCAGGACTCTGCATGACAAAGTGAAAAGCCGTGATGGCTTAAGGGTTTTTGTGACGGTCCTGACATTTTGGGGGCGATTGGAGACTAGGCAACATTTTCTGCTCAAGCAGCAATCGAGAGGGCTTATTACCCTCCCAAACTAGTGAAAACTCCCAAATGTTATTTGGCTTTGTTTTTCCTCTCTCTGCTCTTACAGGTAGCCATCTGTACGAATGTTAAAGGGATGAAAATCAAACCGGGCTCCATGGGAGTGGCGTCTCCACCGTATGATGTCCAGGTACAAGGATGAATATAAACTTACCAGACTGGTGTCTGTCTGAAGACTGGGCAACCTGTTTATTGAGCACTCCCCTTGATTTGTTTGTACAGAGTTTGCAGGGAGGTTAAATGATGTTTGCTGAGTGTTCATTCTACTTTGTTGTGGGGTGGTTGGGCAACACTGCATCAAGGAAGTCCCACATTTTCAAGTGTATCTTCCTGTCACTTTCCTTACTTCCAAAACTGATTTGGTGGGGCGGGAATGGGTTTCTAAATTGTATTCCATAGAACTTAATGGAAATCACTGGGAACGTATTCCCACCATCACTAATCTAAATATTCTAATTCATTTCCCATTTCTTGATATACTGGCCTATAATGGAACCCTGGGAGCAAGCAGAGATCTCTATCTTAACGGGAGCCATTGAGAACCGAGCCAAACCGTAAAGTGTACCATTGTTCGTGGAGATACGTGTGTGACTTTTAAATCAACACTGGTTGGCTGAAACAATATAAGCTTTTTTTTATTTTTTGCTTCTACAGATTGTGGATGATGAAGGCAAAATTCAGCCTCCGGGGGTAGAAGGGGACATTGCTATCAGAATCAAGCCAAAGCGACCATTTTGCCTTTTCTCACGGTACTTAGTAAGTATTCTTTTTAGCACGTCAACAACGTTGTGATAGATAGAACAGCTTCACTTTGCAACCAAGCTGAGGACATCAGTTGCATTTAGCTCCAGGTCTAGATTTTTGCTGTTGCAGGGTCCAGTGGTAGTACAACATGCAGTGTATTAAGGTTGGATATGGATCTAATTGCATGCTAATCTAAGGTTCAATCCCCAGTGTCTCTAGATAAGGCTAGAAGAGATCTCTGTCTGAAACCTTGGAGAGCTTCTGCCAATCAGTGGAGACAATACTAGGCTAGGTGGATCAATAACCTGATCCTATTATAAAGGAGTTTCCTTTGTTCCTGATGCTCACAGACATGTAGTTCCGCAAACTTGGCTGTTGTCAGGGGTGGGTGTTATCAGGCAGCTGACAAGGCCCACATCCCAGCATGGGACCCACTGCCAACTCTATTCGTCCTCCTAGCTCTGCTCCTCCTCTGCCTTGCTGTTGCTGCTTCTTCACCTGCCATCTCCTGTCTTGACGAGAGCAAGGAGTTTGAGCAGCATCCTCTGCTCATCTTGCCCTCTTCCCTTTGGGTGGTGGTTTGCTTTAGACTCTGGTGGACAGTACAAGCAAATAGGCTGCAGAGGTAGCAAAGAGAAGGAGGGAGGACCCACTCAGGGAAGGGAGGAAGGGAGAGCCTCTCGTTCAAGGGCTCACTGAGATCTGGAGTCAGCACTTTTTTGGCAGTAATCAAACCAAGAGCAAATCAACTCGCTCTTTTGTCTTGGGGAACCATTGCCAAAAGGGACAGACCAGCAGGTATTGGTGAAAACGTACTGAACAATGTTTGGATGTTGCCAGGATAACCCTGAGAAAACCGCAGCCACCGAGCGTGGTGATTTTTATGTCACTGGAGACAGAGGGATTAAAGATGAAGAAGGCTATTTCTGGTTTGTCGGAAGATCAGACGATCTGATTAATTCTGCCGGGTAGGTTCAGTTCGGTTGGCTTTCCCCCTTTGGCCTGTGCTATTAAGCGACAAAAGGCGCAGGAGTGACACCCCCCTTCTGTCTCTTAGGTATCGTATCGGCCCGTTTGAAGTGGAGAGTGCCTTGATAGAGCACCCAGCTGTGGTGGAATCGGCTGTGGTCAGCAGCCCAGATCCCGTGAGAGGAGAGGTAACAGAGATTCGGGCAGCCAAGACATTCTGCAACACATGATACTCAGCAGCAGAAAGCCACATGCAGTGCGCTTGCTTGGGGAAAGTATCATAAATCTTGACACATCGCAGCGGTACAGATGGTGCTGTCTTTCAGACACATGCCTGAGCAGGGGAGGTATAAAAATGTTCTTGGTTGGCAAACTCACCTCGGTTCATTTGGCTGCAAAAAGAAAAGTGGGGAAAAAAACAGTTGCATCCCAAAAGCCCAGTTTTTGACATTACCAGGATCATAGGTAAAGGTAAAGGTACCCCTGCCCGTAGGGGGCCAGTCTTGACAGACTCTAGGGTTGTGCGCCCATCTCACTTAAGAGGCCGGGGGCCAGCGCTGTCCGGAGACACTTCCGGGTCACGTGGCCAGCGTGACAAGCTGCATCTGGCGAGCCAGCGCAGCACACGGAAACGCCGTTTACCTTCCCGCCAGAAAGCGGTCCCTATTTATCTACTTGCACTTTGATGTGCTTTCGAACTGCTAGGTTGGCAGGTGCTGGGACCGAGCAACGGGAGCACACCCCGCCGCGGGGATTCGAACCGCCGACCTTTCGATCGGCAAGCCCTAGGTGCTGAGGCTTTTACCCACAGCACCACCACCAGGATCATAGTGGGATCTAAATATCCCCTGGAGATCCTGCCAATTTCCATGAGTTCCTAAATCCTCTTCTCTCCCTGCTTGCTCATTCCTATGGCTAACCCAACATTCAAGGATTAATCTATGTGTGCTTCTAGTTCTTTAAGTGAGGATCCGACTGCTGCTAAAACAGCAACATTCATACTCAAGGGGCTCAGCAGGCTCAGAGAAACCCCCAAGGTTTGCAGGCATAAAAAAACGTTTAGGGGGAAAATCCAAAGTGGGGGAAACCTGTTGAGGACTGAGCATGCTTAGTGGGAGGTAGAATGGAATTCAGTACCTTGAAAATGGCATGGTCAGCTGGAACTCTGAACAGGAGCACAGAGCGCTACACACAGCAGTATTTTATTTTGGCTAATGAGCAATATCCTATCCCAATCACCCAGTCACACTGATGCCTTTTTTATCTTCTGAGTCGTTAATGCATATATGATTGGCATCCCATAGGTGGTGAAAGCCTTTGTCATCCTGTCTTCTGCCTTTATATCGCACGATCCAGAAAAATTAATCAAGGAGCTCCAGGATCACGTGAAAAAGGTGACTGCTCCTTACAAGTATCCTAGAAAGGCAAGTATCTTCCCAGGTCCTAACAGGGAAATTAAAATGGGTTGTAGATTCATTGAAATTGGTGAACATGACTAATTTAGACATTAATTTCAGTGTGTCTATTGTGAAGAGGAACTGACTGGTTTTTAAATTGTTTTGCAAACTCTGAGATGCTGTGGTAATGAATTAGTCCAAGGCTGCAAAAAAACTGAGATGCACTCTCATTTTTTGCCTACCCAGGTTGAGTTTGTCCGGGAGTTGCCCAAGACGGCAGCAGGGAAAATCCGAAGGAATGTATTAAGGAACCAAGAATGGGGAAGAGTGTAGCTTTGGCTGAACGTCTGCAAACGAAGAACCTTCCTGCAGTACTGCTGTTTGTCGGCAAAGAGGTTCATTCAAAAAAATGTACTCTCCCTTAAGGTTGCTTCTAAAAGTCTCATCTGATTTCCCCCCTCACCTGAAATGTTGGACTTGCAGTTTCCCTTCTGTCCAAAGTGAAACCAGGATGCGTCAGGAACCCTCAACCATTCTGTCCCCTTTTTTTAAAAAATGAGATTGGGGAACCTGTAGCTCTTCAGGTGATGATCAACTTCCATTGGTCCCAAACAACAACAACAACAATTTTATTATTTGTACTCCACCCATCTGATTGGGTTGCCCCAGCCACTCAGGGCAGCTTCCAACATCTGTCAAAACATAGTAAGACATCACACATTAAAAGGCTTCCCAATACAGGGCTACCTTCAGCAGTCTTCTAAAGTTATATAGGTACTCATCTTCTTGACATCTGACGGGAGGGCGTTCCACAGGGTGGGTGCCACTACTGAGAAAGCCCTCTGCCTGGTTCCCTGTAGCTTCACTTGCAGTGAGGGAACCACCAGAAGGCCCTTGGAGCTGGATCTCAGTTTCTGGGCCAAACGATGGGAGTGGAGACGCTCTTTCAGGTCAGGGGTGATGGGAGTTGGAGTCCAGCAACATCTGTGGGCCACGATCCCCAAGCCTTGTTGTAGTAGAGACAAACATCCAGTTTTCATTTGATTTCCTTTCTCTACATAACTGATTTGTACAGTTGCATTGATGAAACATTGCCAAAAACACTGTTGATGTTACCTTGTGTACAATTACATCAAGAGTTTTGATAGGGAGGGCCATAGTTCTGTGGTAGGGGATATGCTTTGCATGCAGGTCACATCCTCTTCCCTTTCTCTCCACTGATAGGTTAGGAACAAGCCCATGTCTAAAACCCCGGGATTGCTACCAGTCTAGACCAGGGATAAGAAAACCTGTGGTCTTCCAGATGGAGTTTTAGGGCTGATGGGAGCTACCACCCACACTGGCATGGCCCTGTGGTTAGGGGGATGACAGGAGTTGGAGTCCAACAAATATCTTAGAGGACTGCAGATTCTCCTTCCCTGATATGGACTTAAGGCAGAAAGTGGGTGAGTTGAGGCCAGACTCCTATCTTGTGCCAAGTTCCTTATCTACACCAAAGACCTGACAGATGTTATGGTTTTTATTTGTTGTTGTTACTATACAATATTAGCTAATATAAAATATTTTTGTTGTCAATATAAAATATGCTACAAATGTTGATCACCTCAAGGATCAAACTCAGATAGGAGTTTGAGGGTGCTAGTAGATGGAATTAATCCCTAGGAAATGTTGTGTGAAGACACCCTCCCATGTTTTAGGACGCAAACCCTGCAGTGTTGACCATCTGTACTAGGCCCCTGTTTTAGGTTGGACTGAAGCTGAGAGAGAACAACAACAACCCTGAAATGTTGTTCACTGCTTTTCTCCCCACACTGCATGTTTGGCAGAAAAACTAATCTGCAATAACCCTGTTGTGTAGCTCACCCATACACACCTTACGCAGGTTGGACTTCTGTGCTGCAAGAGAACAAGTTACAGCAGGCTTGCAACATAGTCCAAAGTTAATGTTTCAGAGGGAAAGGAGAGGCTGAGGCTGGTATGGATTCCCAGGTTTTTTTTTAACGCAAACCCTCATACATCTCATGTTGCAGGCAGGCAGATCTATTTTAAGTTGGCATCTCAGAAACTCTTCCCAGGTTAATGTAAGCACTCAGTTGCATGTCAGCCTCCTTTGGCTTGCATGTGGGTTGGTTGCAAATATTAATGTTCCAAAAATAAAATAATGCTGAAGATGCAAGGCCCAAGTTAGGGCTACTATGAATGACCATTTTTGCAGCCACCAACAAGTAAATATTTTCAGGTGAAACAGGAGATTGTTTTACCAAAAACAATGTCACTAAACTTTTATTTTTGTGCTATCAACTGTGCCGATGTATTTGTAACCTTGGCTTTCAGGGGAAAAATTCCCAAAGGAAAGTGTTATGTACTGAAGTTCTCACCCTGGGCCAGCAGGGGGATACTGTAGATAGTTTTCACTCAGGTCCACGTCAGTTATTTTAGGCGGGAAACCCTGGGTTGTTGTTGCTACAATGTTGACAGCTGGCTGCCTATAAAAGCAGGCCGGCTGAGCTGTTTGCTGTTCAGTTTCTGTTCCAGCTTACAAAATAAAGAGCTGCTTTGGAGAAATCGCTGTGTCGCCTGCCATGTCTACCCACTATTCAACTGAAAGTTTCTCATTGTACCAAATCAATATTTTGAGTGCTGGAAATAAAGCTATTTTCTAACCTTTATGAATTTTACATTTCTCCAATACTTCTAATTATGATTACAGAAAGATTTAGACACACTTCAAAAGCTAAGATGCTCAGGCCGCAAAGACTCATGCTTCTCATGTTCCTAAATTTCAAGCTGCTAAAAGGTCACAGTATATATAATTAAGTTCTGAGAAAACGGCTCCAACTCCCACAAATGAAAATAATAGTTGATCAAGTGATTGAAAGAACCCTCTTGCAAATTATAACAATTGAGGCTTTTTAGTTTATAGAAAACAAAGGTTTTCTATAAACAGGGGCATGATAAAGGCGTATAAAAATTATGCACTGGTGGGGGGGGGAACAGAGTAGTTTTTCTTCCTCATACTATAATGCAGGGCCATGCAATGAAGACAAAAACTCACCTTAGTGTGATGCTAAATTCTTCCTAATGGGTTGTAACCAATGTTAGTTAGAGTAGACCCACTGGCATTAAATGAAGATGAATAACTTATGTCTATTAATTTTAGTGGGCCTTCCCAGAGTAACAGTATGCTACACTGCAATAGCTTTACACACACCTGACCTGCACTGGATAGTAATTTGTATTACAGTACTTCACTTACTTCAAAATGTCACCAGCATTTTACAGGTTGGGGGCTCTCCTTCTCATTCTGCTGAGGCCCAGGACTTCTGCCTCAAAGTCTGACCCTGATTGTGGTGCCATTGCTCTCTGGCCTGTGCTTGCACAATAAACAGCTGTGAGGCAGCTCAAAGTGCACACACTGGGACATAATCAATGAAGTATGACCTTCAGCACTTTCTCTCCTTCCCTTTTCACCCACATTTTGTGGAGAGAAGTAAATAATGGGAGCAACAAGGTGAGCATTAAGATCTGCCACGTACAGGCAGTTTGCTGTTTGCCCTCCTTTGTCCCCAAAGCTACCAACTCTGTACTCATATCTTTATTACTGTTGCAGAGGACCTTTGTATGAATTATGTGCTGTATCTATGTACTTTTGTCCTTCCAGGCTGTGATGCTTTAAGGCTTTTTTAAATGTTTTGCTCTCTTTTTTGTTATGTTTCATTTTTTTAAAAACAAATCAATAAAATAATTGTATGATAGAAAAGGTGCGGAATAAACAATTGGTTAAAGACAAATAACCTCCATGCAACAAACCAGAATGTAATCAGAATGAATCCTCTTTATTGTATAATCAGAACAAATGGCCTTCCACCAAACATCCCCCCACAATCCTAGAGTTGCCTTTTCAAAATGTAAAAGGCAGGACACCCCCAAGGTTGTTGAGCCTTTTAATGAAAATGCTCAAAAAACCACAATTTTGTTGTTTACTTGCCAGAGATCCAGGACAGACCAACACCTTCTGGAAATTCTCCCTAGATGTCACTTCCGCCTTTGAAATCCTGGTAATGTCTGGGAAAATCCAGACATAATGGCAGCCCTACCCAATCCATCTTCTCACTCACCACAGTTTTCTTGGTGGCCAGATTTTTGGCACAACCCAGTCTGCAGGCCCCTCTGGCATGCTTTTTAACTTTTCTTTTTCTTTCTGAATGTTTTCTAGCTGCTTCGTCAAGATTTCCTGCTGCCCAGATCCTTCTTTCTTTCTTTCTTTCTTTCTTTCTTTCTTTCTTTCTTTCTTTCTTTCTCAGGTCCTTTTCAGGAGCATCGGACACAGGTGGCAACTGGACTTCAACCTCTGTCTGCAGGCCCCTCAGGTACCCAGAACTAAAAAAAAACCCCATCTCATCCCGGTCCACTTGCTGAAATTGCAAACGCCAGGCTATCAATTCAAGGGACGAGGACTTCTCTGCATCTGAGACTGCAGAACATAAAGCAAACACTATGATTGGGTTGGGGACCTGAGCGATTCAGTGCCTCCTCTTCTGTTTTCTCAAATACAGTACTAACTTCAGGTGATGGGAAGGCCTGGCTTTCTACTGGAAACGCGCCGAGAGAAGCAGAGAATGACTGCCGGCAGTCTAGTTAATTTCTTAGTATTTTCCATGACCAGTACAGCATCCTTCTTGATTTCCCTGCTTCTCCTCTTACCAAAGTTCTGTTACAGGCTCCGTTCACCCGTTCACCCTCTGCTTCCCCAATGTGCATGCGCCCGCCCCGTGCACCGTCAGCCTGTGCTGCACCACATGACAATAAAGATATTATTATTATTATTATTATTATTATTATTATTATTATTATTATTATTTTAAGCCAGCAGCTTAAAAAGGAGGGCAGGTCACCGTTACCCTGACAGCTCACCCATCACCCTAGGCCAATTATTTAGACCATGTACAGCAACACTAGTGTATATTGATTTTTTAAAAAGAAGTTCCCTGATATCAAAAGCCTACAATCTATAGCTTTCAGTGGTCCCACTGATATTGCTGCTGCTGCTGCTGCTGGGGGCAGCTTGGTTGGCACTGACCCAGAACAGGGCCTTCTTGGTGGTGGTTCTCCACTTGAGGAAAACCCTCCGTGAGGTGTGTCCCTCTTCCTCATCATTAATGTTCAGGAGGGATTAAAAAACATACCTGGTTTGCCCAAGCATTTGATGGCTGAAAGACACCATTCCAGGCAACCTTGAAACTACAGAATTAGCTATAGTTAGGATTGTGACTATGTTCACACACTCTTCATGTTTTAAAATACACTTTTTTATTTTAAATGTTTCCTTTTTTCCGTTTTGCTACTTTGTGGTTTGCTACCCTGGGCTCTTTTAGAAGGGCAGGCCAGAAATTCAATAAAGGAAATAAATATATCTGAAATCACCCATTTGATTAGAATGCCTGGGTCTCTGCAAAGTTGGCATTGCATGGTTTTGTTTCCTGAGGAAGGTTTATATGGCATATGCTAGTAATTTAAATGGGAAATTTATTAGGCAGCTTTTTGGAAGCTGACACGGATAACAGAAATATAGCGGGGGGGGGGAGGGTGCGTGTAGACTTTAGTACCATAACAGCTTTTCCAAAGATGCAGCATCAGTCGGGTTTTAGGACCCGGCGGGAAACTACTTTGGGACACAGCGCGGAACTGCGTGGCGGATAAGAGTTTGCCTGTTGCCATGGAGACGGGGGAAAGCCTAAGGCCTGCACTTCCGGTAGGCACTGCACAGCCTAATGGAAAGCCACCGATTCCCGCATTTCGCTCCATTAGCACCTCTATCCTTTAACAAAAACAGAGAGTAAAAGGGAGACCCTCGAAGCTCTATGACTGCAGAGCGGCGCCTCTCTATCCCTTGGCGCCTCTATGATAGGCGTAGGCCCTATGCTGTCGGATTACCACCCCCATTACCCCTAGTGGCCAAGCCGATGGGGGAGTCGTAGTCCGGCAGCACTAGCAGAACCGCAGGTCCACGCACCCGGCTCCGTGGCAGAAAAATAAATAAATCAATAACAATTAAATATGCTAATATTTATTTCCTATCTCTATGGTGCTGCCCCCCGGCGCGTCCCGATGACGCCATCGAAAGGGGGCCGACACGCGCGCCGTTGCGGGACCAGCCGTTGACGCCGCCTCCGCGGTTCGCCTTTCCCGACGCCCGCGATGGCTGCCGTGGAGACGCCGCCCGCTGCCACGCCGGGAGCTGCGCCGGCTGCCTCTCGCAAGCGGCGGCCCAAAGCGCAGTACCTGCACGCGGCCAAGCGGGCCCGGCCCGGCGGCTCCCGCCAGCTGGAGCCCGGCATGTGCGGCATCCTCATCACCTGCAACATGAACGAGCGCAAGTGCGTGGCCGAAGCCTACAGCCTGCTGGGCGAGTATGGCGAGCAGCTCTACGGGCCCGAGCAGGTAGGAAGAGGACTTTTGGGTTTCGACTAGGAAAGGGGAGCAAGACGCGGCACGATAGGAGTCTGTAAAATTATATATCGCTTGGGAAAGTGGGGGAAAAGAAGAACCGTCGGAATCGTAATATCCTTATGCAAATCTGTGGTGCAGCTGCTTTTGGAATAGAACGAATTAAGTACTTAACCCGAGGTACCGCTGTACTGTGTCTTCTCCCCTCGAAACGGATATTGCTGGGGAAGCTTTAGAAAAGGGCGACCAAAAAGGATCAAGGGAATGAAGCAACGCCCCCGTGAGGAGAGGTTGCAGCGTTTGGGATTTTTTAGTTTAAGAGAAACGGCAAATAAGATGATAGAAATTCATACAGCTCTGCGTGGTAAGGACAAAATGGCTAGAGGAAACTTTCCCTTGCTTAACACCATTAGAAATTGTGGGGACCCGAGTTTAATTGTTTAACACAGCCGTATTAATTGTTTTCTTTAACAGGGCTGTGTTGATTATTATTTTTTTTAAAAAGGAGAGACCTACCGAATTTGTATAAGAATTTAAGCTTGCATCCAGCTCTAAAGAAGCTTTCCTCGCTGAGTTAACTTGACTAACAATATGTGTGCATGTGTCTGTAAAGTTCACAGATCAAGATGAGAGCAGACTGTCAGGAAATGAGGAGGACGACGATGATGCTGAAACTGCATTGAAAAAAGAAGTCAATCAGATTCGCACCTCAACAGAGCAGAAGCTGCGACGGTTCCAGTCGGTGGAGAGCGGTGCCAACAATGTAGTTTTCATTAGGACTCTGGGTGTAGGTAAGTGTGCATGGAATGGGAAGAGGCAGCATAATGGACAAGAGCATAAGTTCTGAGCCCTGAATAGACTAAGTGGAAATGATGGGCATCAGAGGGGCAGACAGAGGGGTGGTAGAAAGAGAGAGAAAAGAGGTGGCTCTGCCCAGTTTTGGGACTGGCATCTCCCTGTGTTTGCGCCTAGACTTCCATGCTATTAGAGATGCCCTTTCTTCACCCAGAGGAATGAGTGAAAAAGTCTCTCTCATTGCCTTCTTCTTGCAGAGCCTGAGAAGCTGGTGCACCACATCCTGCAGGACATGAAAGCCACCAAGAAGAAGAAGACCAGAGTCATCTTGCGCATGTTGCCTGTTTCGGGCACCTGCAAAGCTTTCCTGGAGGACATGAAACAATATTCAGAGACCTTCTTTGAACCTTGGTTTAAAAGTCCCCGTAAAGGCACTTTTCAGATTGTTTACAAGGCTCGAAATAACAGCCACTTGAGCCGGGAAGAAGTCATCAAAGAACTGGCAGGTAAGTGATTTATTTTGTAATAGGAATAGGCAGAAGGTGAGTCAGGATCTGTTGAGGAACTCTGGGTGATTTGTAGTAGGGTTTCTGACTCCCAGTTGTTTAATAACAGCAACAAAAAAATAGGGTGATTTTTTCTTTGCTTTTAGGTTGCTGAAACAAAGCAAGCTTAGGGCAGGGGGAACAAGTGGGATTTGTGTGTGAAAAGGACTGTGGGCTCTATTCTGTGACTGAAAACAGATTCCAGGGCACCATTTTCCTTGCCTCTGTCATATCTCTCAGCCACTATTTTTCACATGACTTTGGTTGCCAGATTTTTTCCGGTCAGGGATGGGGAACTGGTGGCCCTTCTGAACATTGGCTGTAGTAGCAGGGGCTGGTGGGAGTTGGAGTCCAGCAACATCTGGAGTCCTTCAGCTTCCCTATCTCGCTTTTAGATCTTCAATTCTAATTTTAGTGCTTTCAGGGTGGGGTGGAACAGTGGGTTGGACCCAGACTAACAATGCAGCCCTCTTAACATAACCTGCTTGGAAGTAAGTTCCATCAAGTTCCATCAAGTGGGCTTACTCCCAGGTAAGTGGGCGCAGGGTTGCAGCCTAAGCTAATTGAGTTCCTGTTGATTTCAGCAGACCTGTGAGCAACCAACTTAACAGTGTATTTTTAAAAATATGTATCCTTAAATGTGAGCCCCATTGAGTTCAGATGGGCTTGTTCCCAGGTAGAGGATTGCAGCCTTAATCTGGATATAGTTCCTTTGTATGGGAGAGGAAGGTATTAAATACTTAAGCTGAAATAAAATATGTGTGTGTCTCATCATGCCAAGTTTAGCCATCATCATCAAGCTGTTCTTAAGTGGCCGAAGATGAAAAGATGGTGGCTTGCTAAAGACATGCAGCACACAGTTAAACTGCAGTTTACTACCACAGGAGGTAGTTATGGCTACCAACTTGGGTCACATCCATGCCATACATTTATGGCACATGGTGCCCTCCAAAAAATCCTGGGAACTGTAGTTTGTTGAGGGTGCTGGGCATCGTAGCTCAGTGAAGGGTAAACTGCAGCTCCCAAGATTCTTTGGGGGAAGCCATGTGCTTTAAATGTATGTTGTGGATGTGACTTGGATGGCTTCAAAAGAAGATTAGAAAAATTTGGAGAATAAGATTATGTTCTACCTCCACTGTCAGAGGGTATATGCCTTTGAATACCAGCTTCTGGGACTCACAAGTGGGGCGAGTGCTGTTGTGCTGAGGTCCTGCTGGTGGGCTTCCCATAGAGGCATCTAGTTGGCCTCTGTGAGAACAGAATGTGGGGTGAGATGGGCCTTTGGCCAGATCCAGCAGAGCTCTTCTTCTGTCCTTAGTCTCTTAGCCCTTATGGGACACCATCTCTTCATTTGTGGCTGATCAAAAGTATTACTCTCCAAGCTTATCAGACAGCTTTCTGCCTCCCCAACCCTTCTTTGTTGCCTTGGCAGGAGTCGTTGGCCATCTCAACCCAGAAAACAAAGTTGATCTGAGCAACCCCGAGTTCACCATCGTGGTGGGGATCATAAAGAACATCTGCTGCTTGAGTGTGGTGAAGGACTACATTCTGTTCAGGAAGTACAACCTACAGGAAGTGGTGAAGAGCAAGGAAGGGGAAGGGCAGCAGGATGCTTCCAAAGTGTCCCAAGAGGGGGGCCTGGATGGGGGGAAACCAACTGAGGAGGAGAAAGTGGAGGAGAAGACTGAGGTGGCAGAGGCCAGCGACAATCACAAGGACTAGGACCATTAATGAAACTTACTGGGGGAGAGACTCTGAAGGATGGCTCTCAATGAATTGGGTGTGGGTGTGCTTTAATTGTCCTTTATAACTCTATGGGAGTTAGGCTGTTTAGCCAAACCACCAATCTGCACAAATCGAGGAGGAACATCAAACTAAATGTTGCCACAGACTAGGAAGCAAGGGAACACCCTGGAGCTCGCAAACAGGAGAACAGAGCTCTCTGATCAGAAGCCGCAGCCAAACTGAGAGCTCCCTTCTCCTGTTTGCAAGCTCGAGGGTGTTCCCTTGCTTCCTAGTCTGTGGCAACAGTAGTTGGGTGTTCCTTCTCGATTTGTGCAGATTGGTGGTTACAGCCAACCAGAGTTTGACCCCAAACCTGGATTTGAACACATGGCTTGAAATGGGTTTCCAGCTCTGGAGAGGGAGTCGGAGCATACAAAGGAAGAGTTGAGAGCTGGTGAGCCCCAAGGCAGGACCCTGACAGTCACACTGTGCTTTAGATATGAAATCTGAACCAAGCCTCTAGCTCCAGTCCAGCAAATGTGAGTCTCTGTAAAAATGTCAGTGAGAGAGGTGAAACTCAAAGCATACCAAGGCTTGAGTTCCTTTTGACAATGAGATTTTGGCCTAATTTTGCTGAATCACCCCCCCCCCAACTGCTACTTAAAAGGCGCTATTTCTCATTTGCTGTTGGTGTTAAATCCAGACACAGGCAGCATCTCTTGTATGGTTGTTTACAGACAAATAACACTATCTGTGTGGGTTCTTGCTGCCTTGTTTGGTAACAACTGTTGGTCAATATAGGGCAAGCATGATATCTTCAAGCCAATGAACTGATGCAAGCCATAATCAGATTTTCACACTGGCCTGGCCATGGCTACATGCTTCAGATTTCTAAACTATTGTGAATCCAGAGTTGATTCAGGATCTGGGACAAACACTTCCTAAACCATAGCAGTGTGTGGTGGAGAGGGAGCAGGGTTTTGTTTTTTTTAATGCCTAAAAAATACAAGTTTTATAAAAACCTCGTGGGTAGTATATACCTTATGTGTTGGTAGGGATTTATTAGCAGCTAGATTACAGGAGGGGAACCTGTGGCCCTGCAACTTTTGCTGGACTACAGCTCCCATCATCTCTGACTGATGGGCCACATGGGCTGGGGCTGATGGGAGCTGGAGTCCAGGAAATACTTGGAGGGCCACAGGCCCCCCCCAGCCCTGAAGTAGACAGATGATCTGCGAGTAAGTTGAGAAAGAAATGAAACTGTATTGAAATGTGTTTGCAGAGATTGGGAAGAATCCTTTTGGAGTTGTTTCCACAGGCAAGGTGGGCAACCTTTAGCTTATGGGTTTGCATTAGCTGTGTCTGGCAGCTAACAGACCAACACAGTTCTCCACCATCTCTGCCAGTGGGTGCATTGTGTCCTCCTGCTAGACCTGGGGGGTTCTAGCCACCATGTGCCAAGCAGCGTGTTGGTGAATGTTGCTTAATGAACCCACATACAGGTTTCCCACCCTGGCTTCAGATACATAGTATGCCCCCTCCCCGAAGCACCCACATAGGTGGAATGCTGCAGCGATGCCTCATCTTCTAACCCTTGAAAACTAGGAGAGCTGGCCATGGTAGTCTCGCATTCGTTTCTGTAGCCCATGGAAAAAGAGCAGCACCAGTGTCTTGCATTTATGAGCAAAGGGCTTCCCTGCAGCAGCCAGTGTGGGGTTGTTGCATCTACTTTTCCAGTAACACTGGGCTACACTGTTAAACTAGAGGTGGGAAGTTTAAGGGGGAATGCCTGCCTGGGGAAGTGACAAAATAGGCCTGGAGCATTAGTTCTGCTGGGGAGCTACAAAAAGCATTTTTTGCGGGGAGAGGGTGGGTATTTCCTCTAAGATCAAAGGTGTTGTATGGGGCTTGGGAAGCGTTCTTTTTCAAATTGGGTCTTGCAGTGTCATTTTAAACTTCGTTTTTTAAAACAAGTTGCCTGCATGAGTTTGGCTTTAGTTTCGATTTGGAATTTCCTTCTCAGAAAAGAATCCTTGTAGTAGAAGAACATCTGAGACAGGTTAAAAAAATAATGATTCTGTTTTGTATATTGTCTTGTTTTTGTACATGGTTTTTTTATTAAACTGATTTTGTTTCAGTTTGAAGCCATTCCTCTGTGATTTTTTTGTTTGGTCGAGGACTAAGTATACTTTGTAAAATTACGACTTTTAAAAAAGGAACAAGCAGTTTCAATGTAATGTTGCTGTCTTCTATAAAAGGAATACATGAAGTGGGATAAGGCCAAGACTCCATCTAGCTCAGTATTGCCTCTTGGATCACAGAATCAAAGAATTGTAGAGTTGAGAGGGATCCAAAGGGTCATCTAGCCCAATCCCTGCAGTTCAATAGTACAGCTTATAGCATGTGTTGCTTTCAGAAGGTCCCAAGTTCAAGCCCTGACATCAGGGAGGGGCTGCGAAAGGCCCCTGTCCAACATCCTAAAAAAAGTCTGCTAGAAGGTCTTAGTGTAAGGCAGCTTCCTATGTCAGTTCAAAGGCAGGGCAGGGAACCTGTTGCCTTCCAGATGTTAAACAACAATGCCCATTGCCAGCTGATCACTGGCCATTCTGGCTGGGGCTGATGGGGGCCAGAGTCCAAACAACATCCAGAAGACCACAGGCTCCCTATCTGTGCTATAAGGCATCTTTTAAATGACAGGCTCAGGTCTAGGCTTGTATGCACCACCCATATTCTTACATGACAAATTAGCCCAGAGAAGCCTTCTAACAAAACACTTCCTCTAAATAGTAAACACAGGTGACAAGTGCCAACAGGAAAGTAGCCAAAACGGGACCACTGGGAAACAAAAGGGTGTGACTGTCACAAATGGTGGAACTTCAAAGGTTGCAGAAAAAGTACAAAAGAAAAATCTGTTTTCTTTTTAAAAAAGCAACACTAGGGGAATTGCTTACGCTCACCCCACTCTTACAGCTAATCATATCCTGGAACCCTGAACTGGGGTACTTCTGATAAGAGCCGAGCACCCACTGGCTACAACATCTTGTTGCAGCCCCTGCTTGTCCTTTTTAATCTGAACCTTGCCTGTGTTAGGTACCATTAAATAGTTTGGAATCAGGTGATCACTTTTAACATCTGCCCACATTGTGACCTAAATACTCTTAAAACTAACACAGTTTAGCACACACTTGGTTCTACTCATTTTAAATGCCAGCCTAATGCTGATGGCGGAGAACTCTTGCCTTAACCTCAGCACAGAACTAAATGGGTCCCCACTCCTTTTTCCTCAATACATTTCTTCGAATTTTGCCTGTGATGGTTTTTGGCAGCTCTTGGACAAATTCCATCTGATGGAAGAAGGAGAAAAAAAAGAAGCACCAGAATTAAATTGCAAATGTCTATAAACGTTAAAGTTAGTAAAATCGGAGTATGCTATTTGGCCACTGAAGGGGTGAAGCTGAAATGGGAACAGCAGCCCTGCTATAGATCAGACCAAAGTTCCATTCAGCCCAGTACCCTCCTTTTCCTGGCGACCAATCAGATACCTTCAGGAAGTCCTTGGTAAGGCACAAACACAGTAGCCCCCTCCTAAGGAACTAGTATTCACAGACATCCTGCTCCTGACCACACAGGCTTCACTATTGATAAGTCTGTCCATACTAAAAGCAAACATGGATATTATTTGGGATCAGTTTTTAACACAACTCACCTTTCTAGGATATTTGTATGGAGCAGTCACCTTTTTGACATGTTCTTGCAGCTCAAGGGTTAACTTCTCAGGGTTGTGTGATGCGAAGGAAGGAGATAAGACAACAAAAGCTTTCACCACCTGAGGAGCATAAAAAACAATCAGTACATGTTGCAACGTTTAGTTGATCGAAAGCAATAAATAAGGAAAGGGGAATTTTTTGTTTTTTCAATCTTCAGGAGGACTTTAGGACCACATGGAGAGGAATTTAATTCAGGAACAAATTTTGCTGTTTCTATACCAGAGCATGGGTTGTTCCTTCGCCCATGCCCCCAATAAACAACAACAACTTGAAAATTGCTAAGGGTCTTGGTGGGAACGGAATGCTTTCCATGTTTAGATGTTTTTCCATTGCTGCCTTAGAGCATAGTGAAGCTGTCCCCATCCTGGTGCATTTCACAGCTCCCCCTGCCATCAGCTGTTTACATCAGCAGGGCTTCATTAAAGTAAAGGTAAAGGTACCCCTGCCCGTACAGGCCAGTCGTGACCGACTCTGGGGTTGCGTGTTCATCTCGCTTAAGAGGCCGGGAGCCAACGCTGTCTGAAGACACTTCCGGGTCACGTGGCCAGCATGATGAAGCTGCTCTGGCGAGCCAGCACCAGCGCAACGCACGGAAACGCCGTTTACTTTCCCGCTATAAAGCGGTACCTATTTATCTACTTGCACTTAGGGGTGCTTTTGAACTGCTAGGTGGGCAGGAGCTGGGACCGAACGACGGGAGCTCACCCCGCCGCGGGGATTCGAACCGCCGACCATACGATCGGCAAGTCCTAGGCACTGAGGTTTTACCCACAGCGCCACCCGCGTCCCCACAGGGCTTCATTAATATAATTCATTTCTATTTGTGTACACACAGGTGGGTTGGGCATCTTTACCCTACGGAAAGGCATCAAAATCTCATCTAGAGACAAATTAGGAGCAACTCAAGGACTCCAACTAGGGAGAAGCTGGTTTGAGAAACAACACATCAAACAGGATACATAAGCCTTTTGGATAATGTCATGTGAACACATAAAGAACCCAGCACTGTAAATGCAGTGAGTGCGAATTAAAAAGGAGCGTGAACACAGCCCAAGTCACTCTCCTGGAGGCACTCTGACTTAGCATCTTTCCCTCTTTCTCAGAGCTCTTTCATAGAACTGTGAAGGGTTGGAAGAGACACAATGGTCAACTTGACCAACCCCCTGCAATGCAGGAATCACAGCTAAGAAATCTCTGGAACATGGCTATCCAATCTCTGTTTATAAGTGAAGGAGAGTCCATCACCTTCAGAGGGAGCCTATTCCACTGTCGAACAGCTCTTACCATCAGAACGTTCTGCCTAATGTTAGTTGGAATCTCCTTCCTTGTAATTTGAATCCAGTGGTTCAGGGCCTATCCTCTGAAGCAGCTGTTGTTTGCCCAACGCCCCGATTCCTATACTTTCCCCAAATTCCCAATATTCCCACTGATCCAAACAAGTTGGTAAGATGACACCATGCAAAGATGGGAACATTTGTAGTCTGCAAATCCTCTGTCGGCCTCTGCCTTGTAGACAACCATAATTCCCAGGCCGTGCATTAAATAGGATCTGAGTTCAGCATTTCATTACCTCCCCTCTGACAGGATCTGGACTGCTCACCACAGCCGATTCGACCACTGCTGGGTGCTCAATCAGAGCACTTTCCACCTCAAAAGGCCCAATACGATACCTGGAAGCAACAACAACAAAAAGGGCAGTTGACTCTGAAGGTGACTTGGAAACTATGGCTAATCCAGAATGCAGTTGCCATACTGGTGACAGGGAGCGGACACAGGGACAGTTTTTTCATGTGTAAGCATGGCAGCCATTTTGAGCACAGCAATCTTGTGTGATCTCATGCCACAATCTCCCTTCCCAAAAGCGCTTTATTCAGGGCCGCGATCTTGTGCAGATCACGTAACTCACCCGGAAGACGTGAGTCCCAGTTTTGGGCCTGGAGGGTATGGTGTACTAGTAAAACTGTTTTATTTCATCAGGCCTTAGGCCTCGAGTCATCTATCTGCTTCCTGGTTTGTGTTCTGTTTCTTTATAATTAGCCATTTCCCCTTGTACAGTCGCACCTCGGGTTACAGATGCTTCAGGTTACAGACGCTTCAGGTTACAGACTCCGCTAACCCAGAAATAGTACCTCAGGTTAAGAACTTTACTTCAGGATGAGAACAGAAATTGCACAGTGGTGGCGCAGAGGCAGCAGGAGGCCCCATTAGCTAAAGTGGTACCTCAGGTTAAGAACAGTTTCAGGTTAAGAACGGAACTCCAGAACGAATTAAGTTCTTAACCCGAGGTATCACTGTACTTGCTTTCTCATTTTCCTGTGTATTTTGTGCATTTGTATCTATTGTCATTTTGCTTTAAAAATCTGTTAGTTGTTTTGAAGGCTAACCAGTGGGAAAGTGGCCTAGAAATATTAACAAATACTTGCTCCTCTCTGTAATAACACATTCTGCAATGTACAAACCCAGAAGAGATGATAACATCATCGGATCGCCCAACAAACCACAAATATCCATCTTCATCCATTAGCCCTCTGTCTCCAGTAATGTAGAAATTCCCACGGAAGACTGAAGCATTTTTCTCTGGATTATCCTTACAATAAACACAATGATATGTCTATGTGAATCAGGAGTCACCTAGGAAATAATTCCTACTTCTGCAGTAAGGTAAAGGACCCCTGGACGGTTAAGTCCAGTCAAAGGCAACTATGGGGGTACAGTGCTCATCTCGCTTTTAAGCCGAGGGAGCCAGCATTTGTCCACAGACAGTTTTCCAGGTCATGTGGCCAGCATGACTAAACTGCTTCTGGCGAACAGAGGACCGTGATGAGTGCCAGAGCGCATGGAAGCGCCATTTACCTTCCCTTCGCAGCAGTACCTATTTATCTACATGCACTGGCATGCTTTCGAACACACTTAGAATTGAGGAATATGTTAAGTTATGGGGGGAGTGGGGTCATTTTTTGCAATGGCCCCCTTAGGCTGCAATCATAAGAACATAAGGAGAGCTTGCATGATCCAGACACCGCCACGTCTAATCCAGTATCCTAATATAAGGACATTGACACCACAGTGACATCAGGTGACCCATTTTGCTCTCTGTACTGTGCTATTCAAGCTCTGCCGATCAGCTGATTATAAGGACTTGCACAGCGCTGCAGAAGTCCCTTTGGCCCAGCCGCAAAGTGGCCTTGTGGACCAAATGGGTAGGCTTGGCAGGCCTATTTAAACTCACGGGCAAGAGTTCCCCCACCCCTGATTACGGTGGTAAAAATGTTGCCATCGCATTGCAATTACATTGACATACAGAGAACTGATACTCCTTACCATATAATGAGAGAGGAAAAACCAAATGGCCAATTTGATTTGGTGTACAGAACTAGAGAGGGGAAAGAACTCGTATCTAAATTTACTGTGAAGCAAGAGAAAATACAAAACGGCCACTTAGATTTGACATACTGAAAATTAAAAGGGGAAATGTTGTGTTGTATATAAATCACTTAACATGTAGCGAGAAAAACAAAACGACCACTTTGATTTGATTTCCGGAAACTATACAGAGGGAACTGTCTTGCATAGAAATGAACTGCTTACCACATAGCGGGAAAAGAAACAAAATGGCCTCTTGGATTTTATTCTAATAGCAATGTCTCCTTCTTCCCCACGAGGCAAAATATTGCCGTTTTCATCTATAATCTAGAAAAAAAAGGCAAGTACAGTTATGGTTTAGAAGGGGGGGAGGAAACACCTCTAAACACACAGATATCATTACTGCTTTCTTGAAACTCTTCTTCTTATTTCCATATTTTCACTAGACCCACCTGACAAATTAGCTGCACTCTTACCTGAACATCATATGGTGGAGCTGGTGTACCCATGGACCCAGGTTTAATTTTCTTCCCTTTCTCATTTTGCGATATAATACCCTGCAGCAAACAAAAGTTTTCAAACCCTTGATCATCTTTGCAAGTTGCATTTTTATTCCACTTTAAAATTTCGAGCAGATAGCTCAGTTTGTACAGACCTGTGACAGAACCTTCTCAGCGGTGGCTCCCCATTTGTGGAATGCCCTCATTATTAACATTCCTGTTCACCCAGGAATTTGGTGGCTGTCAATTTGATACTGTCTTGGCAACTCTGAAATTATTGTTTTAATGATTGCTTTTAAATGGGCTGTCTCTAACGAAGTTCCCCCTCAGGGTAAACCAGTTGAAATTATTGGGCATGGCTAATTGAGCTCCATTTATTTCAATGGGCGTTGTCAGGGGTTCAGGAGCAGAGGCGAGGGCAAGGGAGGAAACAGAGAGCGAGGGGGAGGAGTCCGAAGAAAGGATGAGTGATGACGACGACCCGAGATCTCCGAGTCTTTCCAGTGAATCGGAAGATTCACAGAAAGGAGCGCCAGTGGCCAGAGCTAAGGGGGGGCCTAGGGGGACACCCCAGGAGGAAGGGACCAGCGGGGGTTCAGAGGGCAGCAGTTGGAAATCGGGGCCAGCGTCCCCACCAGAGCGCAGTGGAGAGGAAGGACGTCAGGGATCGAGCCCTGGCAGCTCGCAGCAGGGAGGAGGGCATGAGTCAGGAGTGACCACACCCCCATCGGGGAGCGAAGAAACGGTCAAGCGGAAAGTGGAAGGTTGGGCGCGCGCGCCAAGTTCAAATGCACAGGAAGGCGGCGCAGTAAGCAGCCCGGAAAGGGAGCCAGGTCCTAAAGCCCGACGCAAGGAGACAGGAGGGTCCGGGGGGTCAGCGTCAGAGGAGTCCCGGAGGGAGGAGACCACGGGGGGCAGAGGGACCCAGAGAAGGACGGTCAGGCGGAAAAGGTGGAGTAAGGCGAGGATATTAAGTTGGTGTACGAGGGGCGGAGACTCAGACGGAGCTTCGCCGGTCTAGCCATAAGACGTAGAGTTGCACGCAGCAGCTTGGAAATGGAAACTGTAACTCAATAAAGACTTTTATAAAGCGAACGCTGGCTAGCGTGATCCTCTGTGAGCTAGGATCGGGGAGCAGCTCTGACAGGCGTGCTCTATGCAAAAACTAGGCCCCATTCGCACTGTGCATTTAAAGCAGTATTATACCACTTTAAAGAGTCATGGCTTCCTTCGTAGAATTCTGGCAGCAATTGTTCATTAAGGATGATGAGAGTTGTTAGGAGACCCCTCTTCCCAGGGAACTCTGGGAAATGTGGCCCTGTTCACTACCTTGAGTTCCTAGGAGGGAAGATGGGATAGAGATGCAACAAATTAACTGAACACTTTATGAAGGATGATGGTTATTATGACCTCGGCTAAGCACATTCACTCGGTTAGGGTTGCACTGGATTAAGCACCTCCAGTTTTGCTCCAACAACAAAGGATGTTACATTGTGCCCTGGTTTCTTTCGCTTGCTATGCTGACCCGCTAAATTGGGCCTACCACTTCAGTCTGTCCATAGCCTTCGTAGATATCCAGACCCGTCTGCCTTTTCCATTGCACCATCACCTCCGGGTTGAGCGGCTCCCCTCCTGTCAAACAGTGCCTCAGGCTCTTGAACTTGTAGCTTAACAGAAAGAAGAAGAAGAAGAAGAAGAAGAAGAATAAGAAGAAGAAGAGGAGGAGGAGTTTGGATTTGATATCCCGCCTTTCACTCCCCTTCAGGAGTCTCAAAGCGGCTAACAATCTCCTTTCCCTTCCTCCCCCACAACAAACACTCTGTGAGGTGAGTGGGGCTGAGAGACTTCAGAGAAATGTGACTGGCCCAAGGTCACCCAGCAGCTGCATGTGGAGGAGCGGAGACGCGAACCCGGTTACCCAGATTACGTGACTACCGCTCTTAACCACTACACCACACTGGCTCTCAAGAGGAAACAAGAGGAAGAGGTTTGAGTGCGTTCCTTAATTATTATTTTTTTAAAAAATGTCACTGGGCTCCATTGAAAATGGATTCTCCACATGAACCAGGAAGTGCCCCCTCTAGACAATGGAAAAGCTCTTCTTTTCTTATCTCTCTGGCTGCCGGACGCCATCAGGCGATTGAATGCACATGCATACTCCGTCCATTTCTCTCCCACCCGCCCCCTCCATGCAGCTCTGGGCACTGGCAACCCACGCTATGCCACTGGTGATGCTGTGTTTTTCCCCACCAGCACATTGGTGCACAGTGCGCTAGATGCAGGATTGCAGCACTTTGATGCGCAGGCTGGGAGGATCATTGTGGTGGGCAGATACAGGTGGGGGGTTTTCCATTCCAAGGCTGGATGGCAATCACAAAAGAACGCCTACGTTCCCAATGCAAAACAATAACGCAGGGTACCTGGTGAGATCATGCTGCACCAACATGCGATAGGCTGTCGGGGCGCTGCACACTGTCGTTATTGGATACTGGGAGAGAGTCTAGAGAAAGTAGGAAGGGAAGAGTGGGAAGAAAAGCACAAATTCACAATGAAAAATATGTTTCTCTTCGTGGGTAACAAGAGCACATTTTGAGCCTTCCCTTTATCCAAAGAGCCCTAGGAAGAGTTCGTTATCTCTCTGCTCCACAAACCCATTTTATCCTCGCAACAATTCTGCAACATGGGTTAGGGTAGGAGTTAGTGACTGGACCATGAACCAGTGAGGTTCATGAATGCATGGGGATTTGAACCTACATCTCCCAGGTCGTAGTCTGAAACTCTATCCACTACACCAGGGTTTCCCCAACTTGGGTATCCAGCTGTATCTGGACTACAGTTCCCATCATTCCTTACCACTGTTCCTGCTACCTAGGGATGATGGGAGTTGTAGTCCAAAAACTGTTGGAGATCTAAGTTTGGGAAACACTGCTCTATAGCATGCTGTTTTATAGATATTAATAGATATCATGTGGTGTACAGTGGTACCTTGGGTTACATACGCTTCAGGTTACATACGCTTCAGGTTACAGACTCCGCTAACCCAGAAATATTACCTCGGGTTAAGAACTTTGCTTCAGGATAAGAACAGAAATCGTGCTCCGACGGCGCGGTGGCAGCAGGAGGCCCCATTAGCTAAAGTGGTGCTTCAGATTAAGAACAGTTTCAGGTTAAGAACAGACCTCCGGAACCAATTAAGTAATTAACCTGAGGTACCACTGTATATGCTGCCGGTGGCCTTGATTTTTTTAAATAAAAAGTGCAGTTTATAAATTTTCAAATAAATAAGTGCATCTCAAATGGTAAAATAATAGGTAGTGGGACAATTTCTCAGTTGTGCTGGAGCAAGGCTGGGTGATAGCCCAGAGCTTCAGAACCTAAGACAGGGATAGTGACTCCTTTTCAGCTTGAGGGCCACATTTGCTTCTAGTAAACCTCCTGAGGGCCATAGGGCAGTGTTGGGTGAGGCTGGGGGCAAAAATGATCAAAGCAACAAATGAATTTTTCCCCTCAAACACTGCACTGCAGGCTGGTATCCACATGCTGGCATATTCCACTGTCTGTCCTCCATCCACCCAAACAAGATGCACTATCAAAGTTCAAGGATTCATTCCCAACCAGGAAAAACACTGTGAAGCAGGGTTTGGAAGTGGTAGGCCAGGGGAGAGTTCGAAGGGCCAGACAGAGAGGTCTGAAGGGCACACTGGCTGCGACCTGCAGAACACTTCACTTGGTCAAGGTTTGGCTTTGGATTTGATATCCGGCTTTATCACTACCCGAAGGAGTCTCAAAGCGGCTAACATTCTCCTTTCCCTTCCTCCCCCACAACAAACACTCTGTGAGGTGAGTGGGGCTGAGAGACTTCAGAGAAGTGTGACTGGCCCAAGGTCACCCAGCAGCTGCAGGTGGAGGAGCGGAGATGCGAATCCAGTTCCCCAGATTACGAATCTACTGCTCTTAACCATTACACCACACTGGCTCTCAAGGTTCCATAGGCTGGGTTGTTTTTTTTACCCAGTTGGCAGAGAGTGTGAAACATAACTTATACCCCCCAAGATAGGACTTATATTCTTACATTTAGGAATTCTCTCGGCTCAAACTGGGGCATGCTGTGTACAAAGACGGTGATGCCTCGAAGCCATGGGGCAAAAACACTCCCCAGGCCTGCTTTCACCCAGCCTGTATCGGACATGTTCCAGATGATGTCTGAAGGCCTTATATCCAGCCAAGACCTGCAAGAGACAGAAGTTGAGAGATGGGAGTCTGCATTAATACACACAAGAAAAACTGTGTCTTTCACTCTGCCCAGAGACTCTCAGAGAGGATATGGGATACGGAAACGATCAGTTGATGGGTGGCAGCCTGCAAACCTCACTTTCTTTGCCCACCAGGTTCAATTTCTTCACCCTTGAACTTGGGGATGGGGAAGAAAATTGATTCACTTTGCATTTAAAAGTTGAATTTACCAAATGCACACTCTGGGAAACAAAAGGCGAACCAAAACACCACTATCCTGTAAAATCCTCACTTTCCTGAATTTTGCAAGGCAGCTCTCCAACCCAGCAGTGTGTACAAAAAAAATGCATTACATTTGGGTAAAGTGTGCACATATAAATGCACATATTCACGTAAACAGTATTCAAAATGTACTTGTCAAAATGTGTATATTTGTCAAACTAGCATACAAAATTGTGTTTATTAGGAGAAATTGGCACTGAAATTGTCACAATGATTTTTTTTTTTAAAAAAAATTCAGATTGCTGCAGAAGTATGGAGACTGGATTTAAGACTGGAAAAATGAGAAAGTGAGAAAACTGAAAAATGATTTGTCTATCCCTGCTCCAGAGAGAGAGAGAGAGAGAGAGAGAGAGAGAGAGAGAGAGAGAGAGAGAGATATTAATGCATTGATGCTTCCTGGAGATTTATAAAAACACAAGCGTGCTCTGGTCCATGGGGTCATGAAGAGTTGGACACGACTAAATGACTAAACAACAACATACCTTCCGGATAATGCCAATCCAAGAGCTAAACTGCTTTGGGAATGCTCTGCCATTTTTGGAGACCCAGTAGTTCCACTTGTGAAGTAGATCGTCATTGGTTCATCACTCTTGGTTTTCACGCAGCTGTGATCAGAAGGGGCCACGCTTCAAAAAAGTCAAAAAGGGTGACAGGTCAAGGAAGTGAATGTCTAAGTCTTCTGTATTTAAATGTACAGCAGAGGGTGCAAACAGATGCTATAACAGGAGCCAACCTCATAATTGCCAACTGTGGGAGCCTATTAATGTGGCTTTGTGTTGGGTCATGCAATTGTCACATGAACCTCCTGTGCTGATGCTCATTCTCAGACACTCATGAGCAACTGTATGCTTCTGAATACCTCTGCTTGGGAATCGCAAATGAAGAGAGGGCAGCTGGAATCAGGTTTTGTTTGTGGACTTCCCATGAGGCATCTGGTTGGCCACTGTGAGAACAAGATGTTGGATGAGATGGGCCTTTGCTAGAGCTGGTTGCAGGGGGTTGGACTAGATAGTCGCTTGGACTTTACCACCTGCCACCACCAATATTCTTGGAAGTAGTGGCCAGATCAGGGAAGCTGCCTGCCATTTTAACTTCCTATAATGCCCAAGAGTGATGCTACTGTTAGTTTCTGTTTCTCACTGAGCAGCTGCTGCGAGTCACAGGAAGAAAATGAGCTTTATCAGCTTGCCTGAGCGGAGATCCCGACAGCTACAGCAGGAACTCTGCGGAGTTGTGGGAAACTTATAGGGCAGGTGGTTTTCCAATGCCAGTTGTGGTCACCAGTCATACATTTCAAGTACTATTATGCTCAGTCAGTAGAGCACGAGGCTCTTAATTTCAGCAGTGGCGAACTTTGACATTTCAAATTTCAACAGTGCCCTGTGTGATGCCAAAATTCAGTGCCCGCCCCCACCTCTCGCCTTCCATTCTAAGTCATTTTTGCGGTGCCCTCTTGGCTCAGTGCCCAAGGTGGCCAAACTGGGTGCACTCCCCTAAATCTGCCTCTCAGGGTCGTGGGTCTGAGCCTCTCACTGGGCAAAAGATTCCTGAATTGCAGGGGGTTGGACTAGATGACCTTCATGGTCCGTTCCAACACTATAATTCTCTGATTCTATAATATTATAAACAGCCGTTCCTTCCCCCAAAAAATCTGTAAGGTGTTAAGGGTGCTGAGAATTGTTAGAAGACCACTATTCCCCTCAGAGAACTACAGTTCCCAGCATCCCCTGGAAAGAGGAATTGACTGCTAAACCAGTCTGGGAATAGTAGCATTCTGAGGGGAAGAGAGGTCTCTTAACAACTCAGCAGCCTTAACTACATTTCCCAGGATTCTTTGGGGGAAGCCATGACGGTTTAAAGTAGTATCACAAAGGGGCCACATTCAGTAACCTGAGGAACGTGCATGTTGAGATGTGGGCTGAGCCAAGCATTGCCAGTTCTGGACCCTACCTGGACATTTCTCCTGCCGTATAAATAAAGCCACTGTTACTCACTCAAGCAGCTCCTTGAAGTTCAGCCAGCCCCCCCTCCTGCCTTCGGAGAGCAGCAACTTTGTTTTCAGAAAGGGGCAAGAAGACGAAATGGAGTCCACTGCAGGGGTCAAGGTGTCATGAGTAATGATGCATTTGGCCTGTGAAACCTGGAGTCTGTACTGGATATCTTTGGCCGTCAGCTGAGGTGTCCCTGGCAGGAACACAATCCCTAGAAGACCAACACATTCAAAATGGTGTTTAGGTTTCATGGATTCACTTGTGTTTTTACCTTATTATCCCACTTTTCTTCCTTTTTTAATTTTTTTTTCAAAGTTTCAACAAGGAAAAAGTTTTACACACACACACACATTCATAAAGCATGGTCATATCAGTACCTTTATGGGGTTCCCTGAACCCCCAGACTTCCCTCCGCCTCTCTCTTGGCTTCCAATATTCACCTTTTTAAATTGCATATAATTACATTTATCCAAATTGTTATACTTCATTTTTATCTGTTGTTATTTTAAATAACAAGTGTTGTGCAAATCTTGCTAATGTTTTTAAACTTTTTCAGTGTTCTTTAATATTATATTCTATAAAGTTATGCCATTCTGTATTAAATTTGTTATCTTCTTGGTGCCCAATCTTCTTGGTCAGCCTTGCCATCTCCACATAGTCCATCATCTTCGTTATCCATTCTTCTTTTGATGGGACTTTTTCTTCTTTCCATCCCTGGGCGTATAGAAGGAAAGTGTATGTGGGGACGGATGGACTATACACCCACTTTTCTTCTAAGACGGAACACAGGCCCAGACCTGCTTAGCAGTGGTGGAGAACCTCTGGTCCATGGTCCATTTTGTGTCTTTGTCTCCTTTTTAGATGCAGCAGCCAATTTATGCCATACTACACACAACCCCACAGCAGCCATTTTGTGACTGGCACCCACAGCAGTTTCTCGAGTTTCCAGAGCACCCAAGATGTGCTTACCTGACCGAATGCATGCCACATTCAGCAGCCACCATTCTGGGACTCGCGGCAGAATGAGAACCACTCGGTCTCCTCTTTGCAGACCGCAGGGGCCAGAGAGCACATTGGCCGCTTTCCGTGACAGGACTCCCAGCTCCTCAAAGCTCCATCTCACTTCCTTCCCTTTGCCGTCTATCCACCAGAGGGCTGGATTGGATGCCCTGCTTCCATCCTGCAAAACAGCATCAGTTTCACGTTGTTCTCCAGTTTGTGGTAGAGACTTTATGGATAAGGTTGTATCATACAACAGCAGCCCCCCACCCCCCTTTGCAAAAAAATTAAGTAAGTCTCCAGCCCTTTTATCAATACGTAAATGCAGGCTGTGCAAACAAATCAGAACAAATGCTCAGTACAGTCTGGGCACAATTTAATCACCATGTAAGCTTTGTGTAAGCAACCTTCAGAACAGAGTAATAGTAGCAGCAGCAGCAGTAATAATAACAATAATAAAAAAAAAAACAATAACAATAATAAGTTGTTATTGGTCACTCTTTTTTAAACCAAAGCAACTAAGTGATTTACAGTAAAAACAAGCAAGCAAACAGATACGTTAAAACTGGAGAAAAATAAAACAAAGAAAAATCAAAAAGCTGTTTTTTACAAGCTAGAACCGGGGTCAGCAGGCTTTTTCAGCAGGGGGCCGTCCACTGTCCCTCAGACCTCGTGGGGGGCTGGACTTTAATTTTTTTTTGGGGGGGGGGAAATAAATGAATGAATTCCTATGCTCCACAAATAACCCAGAGATGCATTTTAAATAAAAGCACACATTCTACTCATGTAAAAACACCAGGCAGGCCCTACAAATAATCCAGAGATGCATTTTAAATAAAAGGACGCATTCTACTCATGTAAAAACACACTGATTCCCGGACCGTCCGCGGGCTGGATTTAGAAGGCAATTGGGCCAGATCCTGCTCCCAGGCCTTAGTTTGCCTACCCGTGAGCTAGATTAAAACATCCCATTCACTCAAAGAGACCATGGGTAAGTAAAAGCCAAAGACCTGGTGAAAGATGACTGTTTTTGCCTAGCTAAGTGGCTAAGTGGGTTGAGGGCTCCTGGTCACCTTATCTTTTGAGACACTTATCTTAGCTACTCTTTTCTGAAGATTACAGGGGATGCAATTTGGCTAAAAACTGGCGTAGGCCAGGAACGAGGTGTCTCTCTGTATTGCATCCCCCATCCTCCCAAATTCAAGCACTGTCTTAGCATATTACCCCAGTAAAGCAGGAAATCGCTACCCTGAGTGGGAAGAAAGGTTACCTTTTCCGCTTTGGACCATTGATCCAGCACATCACTTGCAAAATTAAAGTACTCTGGGACCTCCTTGTCACCCCGGTTAATAGCTTCGTATTGTGAAAGGTCAAGTGAAGTAAACCTCTTGTTGTCATTCTGGAATGCCCTGCAAAGTGATTGGCAGCTCCAGACAGGCCTGAGTGTTTTGAGCTTGAGTAAGATTTGCATGTTGCAATGTGAGTGGGCCTGAGATCATGGGTGGTTTGGTCCTTCAAGAAAAGAGAAAATGAATCATTATTTGTTAAAGAACCATAGAACTGTTGACTTAGATGTCATCTAGTCCAGCTCCTGTAGCCACTACTTATAATTTCTCGAAATAACTAAGGACATTTTTGTTCTAGCCAGCTTTTCCAGCAGCCAAAAGTATTTTTTTAAAATTTAGTACATCTCTGTCTTGGATGTTTATTTGCATTTGCATTGTATAGGATATGCAATGCAGGATGATGAGGATGATTATCAATTTATTAATTGCCTTCTACCCAATTGCAATAAACAATAAAACGGGGGGAAATAGTTAAATACACAAAAAACAATATACACATTTAAAAAGAATACAAAATAGACACACAAGGCATGTAAGCACAACATCCCTGACTAGCAGATGGAAGGATCTGTCAATTTTGCCCCTCTAAGGGTCTCATTTTCCCAATCTTAAATTCATTTCTCAGTATTTCTGCAGCAATTCATGGTTTGTTTGTTTTTTAAGCCCCGGGTAACACAATGTAGTTTTGTATGCTATTTTCACTAATATATGCAAGCTCTGTGTGCCTTCTGCTAGCATATTCATTTTTGTCCTCGTTATTTGGTTTGAGAAATGCATTGCAAAATTTGGAGAAGTGCAAATTTCAACGGATGGCTGTGTTTCAATTCACATATTGTTTTGAGAATGGTGAATTAGTTAGATGCACCTTCTGAATGTGAACTGAACCCAATATCTCCAACGTTTGTAATCAGTATTACGGATGGGGCAAAGAGTTACATTATGATTATTTATGATTACTATTATTAATTACCTGCCCTTCACCCTGAAGGGCAGTTTACAACAGCAAAACACAACCTTACAACACAATACTAAAAGCAGTCTAAAACAACTTCCATAAAGCTCCTATGGCTTCTCTTGGTCCAGATCAGCCCCCTGCCAGTTATTCCCTTTTTCAAAAAAGTGTGGCATCACATCTAGTTTGGCAGTAGGAGTAGCGATGAGAAAGTTTGTGCTAGGCAACCTTCCTACCTTACAGGACTGTTGCAAGGATAGATAAGAATTCGCAAAAAAATTCAGGGTGTGCATGGAAGAACCGATAAATCAAAAGCAAGCAAGCCATTGTTACCTGGAGGCAGTTGGCTTAGACAAGATGTCATCCTGCACCACCAGAGATGGAAAGAGCCTCTGGCCAACTCCTGCTCCTCAATCCGGCTTCTCCAAAGCGTATGAGTCTTGTTCGTACTATAAGGGCCTTTCGCAGGAAAGGATTATTCCCCTGTGAGAATGAAGTTGTTTGTTTCACCAATGATCCTTTTTTTTTTTTAAGCCACGAAGAGCAGAAAAGAAAACGTATACTAGCCATGCCTTTCCTTGGCCTCTCACTGCAGATCAATAACTAATCCACTGCAGGTGAAGCTATAATTTCACCCTATGGTGCCAGCAGAGATTTGGGGGGCGGAGACAGCTAATATAGGAGTTCAGGAAGTTTTGTGGTGCAGGTAGAACTATACAGGATGGCATTCATACAATTAACAATTCCTAGTTATTGTTGTTGTTGTTGTTGTTTTAAGTAAGTAACTGGCATCCATGGCGGACGTAGCAGCTGGTGGAGGGTGATGTGGGGCCCTTAACCCTGTATTCCCCACTCCAGACCTTATCCAGATTGCCCGGGGTTGATACTACTAGCAGTCATTTTTGATTGTTGAACAGTTTTAGTCTTCTTAATTTTATTCGTATCAGTTTGTGTTGCAATGTTTCTGTCATTTTAAAATTTGTTTGCATGCCGCCCTGGAATCCTGTTTTGAATAAAGGGTGATTTATAATTCACCACCTCCAAACAAATAAATAAAAATATTTGGATTGGAGGAAAACACTCCCATTCAGACTGCCAATGCCAATATTCATTTGTTTGTTCGTTCATTCATTCAGTCACTCAGTAAAGCACGCATCTCCTTCAAAGAGCTCAAGGTGGTGTATATGGCTCTGTCTAACCCTCTCCATATTAGCCAACTCTGCAAAGTTGGCTAGGACTAAGGGGCAGTGACTGGTCCAAGGTCACCCAGTTGAGGTTCATGGGGATTTGAAGCCTGGTCTTCCAGATTTTAGTCTGACACTCTCTGGTGGCCTCCCCCTCTGCTTGTAGACCCTGACACACTCAACTGGCAGTCGTGTCAGGGAGCTGTACTACTTCAAGCAGTTCAAGATGGGCAGGAGGCACCATTTTAATCTCCTACAAGGCCCCAGAATGATGTTTGGTTCTGGACAGTGTGGGAAGTTAAAATGGCAGCTAGACCCAGCTGCCTAGCATTTCTCAGAGCTGTGAACCAGGTTGTTGGCACCCTGGCAACTGCCCAAGGATACCATTTGCTGACACCAGCCCTGGTACAATACCTGCTCACTTAGAATGAAGAACAGAACAAGCATATTTTGATACTGAGCCACCATTGTCCCCAATCTCCTCTTGTTTTTTCCTCTGTGGTTCTTCATTTTCTTGCTCCAGTTGTGCCTTAGCACTGTACTGTTTCCACTCATCATAGCAATTTGGGCAAAATGCCTAAAGTTAATGATGGCTTAGCATAAGTTTGTTGAGCTGCACAAAGGCCCTTGGGCATAGCTATTTAAAATATTAAAACATCTATTAAGTGATGGAGTTGTGATTCAATTAAAGCCATCGGTTAGGGCAACCACCATTCTTTGTTATGAATACATTAGGCACATTAAACCAATCTGCGTAATTCTGCCTCCAAGTACCATGTTTTCAATGAATTTTGACTCCCTTGGCAAAACTGAGGGAGGATGATGGGAAATCTCAGGAGATGACAGCATAGGGGTATAAAGAAAAAAAATGCTTCTGTTTTGAGGAATAAACAGGCAGTTACTAGGTGTACCTTTTGAAAGCCTCAGAAATAATAACGCATCCCTTGAACACAGCAGAACTTACTTCTGAGTAGACAGTGTAAGGTCCCATTTACAATGCAGTCATACCTTGGTTGTTGAACGCCTCGCGACTCGAATGTTTTGGCTCCCGAATGCCGCAAACCCAGAAATGAGTGTTCCAGTCTGCGAACGTTTTTCGGAAGCCGAACGTCTGACACGGCTTCCGCTTGAGTGCAGGAAGCTCCTGCAGCCAATCAGAAGCCGCGCCTTGGTTTTCAAATGTTTTCAGAAGTTGAATGGACTTCCAGAACTGATTCCGTTCAAGAATCAAGGTATGGCTGTAAAGAAATAGATACGCACTGCATTTCCAAAGAAACTGCTGGCTGCAGAAGCATTGGAATTAAAGAATTGAAAGCGGATTGGTGAGTCTTTCCTTCAAGATTATATGCCAGCATCAACATTTCCTTCATTTGGTTCAGGGATTTATTCTCCATATAAAGAGGACTCCCGTTTTTGCAACCACAGACGTACACCATTTTTAATTGTTCTCCGAGACATGGAGGGAAAGAAAAAGGAAAACCGGGACATTCTGGGATCAAATCAGAAACTGGGATGGCTTCTGTAATTCTGGTACAGTTCTTGGAAAATGGGGACACTTGGAGGGTGTGTAGGAGTAGTATTCAAGCCCATCATGTAGACTAGGTGTTATGTTCACCTTGTTTGTCCAGACTTGCCCTCTGCTGTGTTTGATTTTGCCTTTCTGGAACCTGAGCTGAGTCTGACTGCATTCAGATGACACCTGAGTCCATCTTTGTGCTGTTTGCTTGTACATTTTTGCACTTTGGGTGGTCGTCCCCATAATGTGAAAGCCACTTCTGGAAATCTAGTGGAGATTTAGCACTTGTTTCTGGTGTTGATAGGGACGCGGGTGATGCTGTGGGTAAAAGCCTCAGCACCTAGGGCTTGCTGATCGAAAGGTCGGCGGTTCGAATCCCCGCGGCGGGGTGCGCTCCCGTTGCTTGGTCCCAGCGCCTGCCAACCTAGCAGTTCGAAAGCACCCCCGGGTGCAAGTAGATAAATAGGGACCACTTTCTAGCGGGAAGGTAAACAGCGTTTCCGTGTGCGGCTCTGGCTTGCCAGAGCAGCGATGTCACGCTGGCCACGTGACCCGGAAGTGTCTCCGGACAGCGCTGGCCCCCGGCCTCTTAAGTGAGATGGGCGCACAACCCTAGAGTCTGTCAAGACTGGCCCGTACGGGCAGGGGTACCTTTACCTTTACCTCTGGTGTTGATTGTTTTGAGGGGGGTGGGAATCCATTTGCAACTGGGAAAATTGCTTGAGTTTTGCATTGACAAAATAAGGTCTTTCCTTGCCCTTTTAAACTTTAGCACAATGTGGTGGAATGTTTATTTATTTATTTATTTTTTAAAAAGTCTCAGTTTCATAACACAACATGGTGCTGCAGTGTAAAAGGAATATTAGAAACTGGGGAAGAAGTGCTAGCATTATAACCAGTAAAATTAGCACAATAACCCCTACATTTCTGAATTTGGAACTGGTGCTATTGGTATGTGATCTGGTGTTTGAGGACTTGCTACAAGCCCAACCCCCATTACACATGCCTCACTTGATCTTGGACTGTTGGCTGGGACAGAATACTGCCCAAAGCCAGGAACTGGAAACTGGAGGTGCAGCTTGCACAAGAAGGGGTGAGTGGTCTTGTGTTCAAATCCTGCTTGCTTGTTTCCCACAGGCATCTGGTTGTCCACTGCTAGAACAGGATGCTGGACTAGATGGGCCATTGGCCTGATCCTGCAGGCTCTTCTTAGGTCCTTAATGCTCTTCTTGAAGCCTGAGCTGATCACCACCATGAGATGAATATGGGCAATGAGCCATTTACTACATAATAGGGACTGTCCTAACTAAATACATACCTAAGACACCTACTGGATCAGGCTAAAAGTCTAACTTGGGAGTGGGAAACGTTTGGCCCTCCAGATGTGGCTGAGCTACAACTTGCATCAGAGGATGATGAAGATGATGGCTCAACAGCATCTGGAGGACCAACGGTCCCCACATCCAGGCTCTATCTAGTCCAGCATCTTGCTTCCTATGGTGGATAACCAGGTCTCTATGGGGAAGTCCATAAGCAGGGCAATATGTTTCTGTTGTTTGTGTTGCTAAGGTGGTATCTGTGCCAAACAAGCAGAGCCTCGTCCCCTGGAGAACTCATTACCAATGACAATTGCTTTCCTTGGGAGCCAGCTCCTATCTAGTCTTCTGCTCACTGCTCTCATTTTGTTAAGAAGCATGAAGCGTGAAGGGGCATGGAGATGCCCTCTGCACCCAACAGGAGTGTCCTTCTTACTCGCTATGAATGTGAGTTGCCCTTATGAGATGGAAGAAAGCTGACCCCGTCTCCCTCGCCAGCATCAATTAAAAGCTTAGTCGTTGTAGAAACACAGCATTATCCCCCAAAGTGCTGGGGTATTATAGATCCACCTGCGGGGAGGCACTTGGCACCGTTCCTTCTGGGAACTGCTGTTTGTTTGCCCGGTAATCACTCCATTAAGGTCTTTGCTGAAAGATAATTGGCAGCTTGGCCATCAGACCGGTTTGCTGTTCTCCCAGGCTGCATCTGAGCAGATGTGTTCGTGAGCTCAGCTTTGTGGCAATGAAAGAGAACCAAGGTCTTCTTGAAGGCATGGGTAGTAAAGTTATTTAGAGAGGGTACAACTCCTTTGCCCTGTGTTTATGATATAAACAACCAAATGAGCACACTAAGGTTGCACACGTCCTTTTGCTTCAGGTGGTGTATGGTTAAAAACAACGTTAAGCACAACTTGGCAATGAACAGAGCTCTTTTTTATTTTGTTTTTGCAATTGTAACCTGGAACGGATTAAGAAATAGATGATTGGGTTCCACTGCCCATTATTAAAGTATATTCAGTAAGAAATCACAGCGCAGAAGTTGGGCACACAAAGAGGCGGATTTAGGGGAGCATGACTGGTTCGCCCGCATTGGGTGCTGAGTCGAGAGGGTGCTGAAACATTGATGCACAACAGAAGGCATGGGGAGTGCCAAATTTTGGCATTGCACAGAGCGCAGCTGAAATTTTAAAGCCCAAAGTTCGCCACTGGCACAAGTTGTGCATGCAGGAGGTGCAAACAAATGGAATCTCTACTTAAAGGAGGTGATAGGAAAGACTAGGTGTAGGGGGAATTTGCGTGGTCATCTATGGGGTAAGGTGATCTCACAAACGAACTGGTTCCAAACTGTTAGGGGCTTAATATACACCTTTGAACTTATCGCAGTAACCAATGGGCAGCCAGAGCAGATTTCTGAGCAGAGGTGTCATATGCAGATGGAGTTTTACTCCTGTCA